TTTTTTATATATATATATATATATATATATATTAATGTTATATAAAATTACTCATATCATGCTATTTTCAACCCATGGCAGTGCTGTCCATTTGAGAAGCAGGAGCTCTAAAGTGCCAGAAGATCTGCTCAGCTTTGGGGACGATTGTAATCATACGAGGCATTTCTGTGTCAGTGTGCACACGCTAAAGGCACATGCTGCTGCGCATGTTATACACGGTTACATTAGTTTCACTGTTCCAGCTCAGTGTGTCATACATGAGTAGTTTCATGCACACAGAATCATGCAGAAAGAACCACATGTATGCAGTATGTAAATGCCCATCAGTTTGAATCCTTTCGGCAGATTAACATGTGAAGTCAATAGAATTGTTCTAGTTAGTCGTGTGTGCTGTCTAAGGTCACGTTTTCCCTGCAGCCCTGAGTTGACCTCACTCTAGTACATGTGTTCTGATGTGTGCATGCATTCTGCTTATAGCTGAAGCTCAAACAGTAGATCATGATGCATGCAATGCCAAGATCATGGGTTTGATTGCCAAGCAATGCATGAAGCGATAAAATGTATATTTCGAATGCAATGTAGGTCGCTTTGGATAAAAGAGTCTTCCAAATGCATAAATGTATGATAATGCAATTGCGGTTTATTGATCTCGATAATGTCAAATAGTTTACTGGATAATAATGACATTAAACATGCATACAAGCAGAGTCATGAATATTTCTATTTTTTATTGCTTTGTGCATTTGGGGCAAGGACCAAGTCCACTTCTGATGTAATATTAAATTTAGCATTTTTATGAACAGTACTTTAACTTAACCCTTTATCATATGTCTTAGAAGTAATAATATATAATAAATAATAATTTAAATAAATATTTAATTATTATAAACTATCAATATTTTTTTAAATAATTGTAATAATAATAAATATTTTTTTTTAATAAAAATTAAAAAAAAACACTTTGGCTTTGTTTAAAGTATTAGATCATGAGAACTAATTTGCATTGTTACACCCCTGTTCTTTGGAGTTTTTGTAGTATGTATGATTTTGCTTTGCCAGATATCAGGTTGTGGTCAGTGGTCACTGGTTCTGTCGGCTCTGGTTACACTAGTTAGTGGCCTGTATGCAGCTCTCTGGAGCCTGTGGCGTCTGTCATGCACCCTAATGAGGGCCCGAGGCACAATGGCTCTGCTTATGCACACATACACTGATCAGCAGCGGCACGCAGAGCAGACTAATATTCACCCTCGCTGTGTGTTCTCAACAAAGATTGAGTTTCTGTTTGCATTAATAAGTCATTCTGGGCAGAGATGCTGCTGCATTGATGTAATGTGAAGTTCTGTGCTTGATAGGGTTGTGATGATACCTGGACTGAAAGCATCACGATACCGCTCTTGCTGTGTATATCATGTCTGCTCTGTTGTTGGATTAGTTCTTTAGAGTTTATGCTAAGTTAACATTGTTTTTAATATTATTTTATTTGAATGTAGAATTATATTGATGCATATTGTGTCTGTGTTTATCAACACAAAGATTTTACATTTAAATGTATGTATGTGAACAAGACGAGTGTTTATTTTAAGCCGTTTAATCATTTCACACTGTTACATATATATATATATATATGATTTATTTATTTATTTGTTTATAATAAATTTTATTCATATATTTTTTAAATATGTATAATATAATTATATTCATATATATATATATATATAATTATATATACATATATGAACATAAGAAAAAAAAATTTGTTACTTGAAATAAAATGTTTACTAAAAATTAAAAAACTTAAACTTAATTTTATTTCAGTTACAACAGTTTAAATTGAATTACTAAAATAACTAAATCTAAAAAATAAAGCTAATAAATAAAATACTTTATAGACATATTTTTTTAACAATATTAAAATGACGAAAACATACAAAACTGTATTTTTGAAATGCAATGAATAAACTGAATGAACTGAAATAAAATGAATAAAAACTATATAGATATTAAAAAAACTATAAATGAAAAAAAAAATTACTAAAACTTTAACTAAGATTAAAAATAAAATGTAAAACTTTTTACTAAAAAAAATTAAGTTAACAAAAAATAAAGAGAAACAGAAAATAAAAAAAAAAGCTAACAGAAATTTAAAGAAAACAGAAAATCTAAAAATTAAGTTAACAAAAAAATTAAGAAAATATATATAAAAAATCTAGTTAAATATTAACAAAACCTGTAATATTTTTTGTATATTATAGTATATTAATGATAATAAAACTACACTGCTTTAGGGTGGACTTCTGTGAAGATCTGAGCTCTCCTTTTGGTTTTTATATTTAGAAATCAAACCGAATGTGTATGAGAAAGTAATTTGAGAGATTTTTTTAGTTCTGCTGAAGGAGCTTGGGAAAGCTTTTGTGGTGAACGGAGGAGTATTTCAGTCTCTCGTGAGCTGCTTACGCATTGAATTAAACATTGAAGGAGAAAGGCTGAAATAATATTTTCCGATAATCTTTATTTACAATTTTGAAAAAAATCATTTTTTACAGTGTAGATGCTTCTAAGCTGCAATGCATCGCAACAATCATTTGACATATGTTTTCATTCATGCACTCTTTTTTTTTTTATAAAAGTGTTTGATGCATGTAAGACAGTTGCATGCATTTTTCCCAGCTGTCATTGCATTTAGGAGAGAGAGGAAGGTTTTGGAGTCGCAATGCTTGCTCAAGCCCGGCTGTAAAGTTTACACAGCAGGTCTATTGTGACATTCAGGCCTAAATCTGTGTGCATTACGAGTGCATTCACAGGTTGATCCGTCAGGAAATACCACTGAAAACCTGCATTAATCGAGTCACTGATGAAGGGGAAAGAAAGGACCGATAAAGGAGGGCAGTGTCACGCAATCCGGAAAGTGCTGGCTTTCTTTTTATGTCTTGAACAAAGAAAGGAACAATATTAAAAAGCTAAAGTTGATTTAAATATGAATCCTGCATGTTCTGCATGTTTCATTTACTACACACACACTGAAGCGCGAGTCTGCCGTAAACACATGAACAACATCTCCAGATAGCAGGTCTATTGTGACATTCAGGCCTAAATCTGTGTGCATTACGAGTGCATTCACAGGTTGATCCGTCAGGAAATACCACTGAAAACCTGCATTAATCGAGTCACTGATGAAGGGGAAAGAAAGGACCGATAAAGGAGGGCAGTGTCACGCAATCCGGAAAGTGCTGGCTTTCTTTTTATGTCTTGAACAAAGAAAGGAACAATATTAAAAAGCTAAAGTTGATTTAAATATGAATCCTGCATGTTCTGCATGTTTCATTTACTACACACACACTGAGTCTGCCGTAAACACATGAACAACATCTCCAGAACTGCTCTGAGAGTCGCTTCATGAGCATTTTAGCGTTTGATTTGAGTAAAACTAGCCTCATATCTCATACACAGAACTGTAAAGGTATTCACGGCAACCCGTCAAAATAAAAGTCCGGTTTGATTTGAAGACATTGTGCCTATAACTATTTTTCAGTAGAATGTACATAGCCTACTACTACTACTACTACTAAAATGAAACAAACATTTCTTTTTAAGGAATAAACACACAAAACATTTCTTCCATGTTTTAATTTTAATAGTAAATCCCATTTGCTTGCCAAAAAATCTTGTTTGCTTAATTTTCAATAATTAAAAGATAAATGATAAATTAAATTAATGTTTTATGCCTTCATCTGATAACCAGAAAAAATGTAAATATACAATATAGAATTTCTGAGGGGGAAAAAATGCATAAGGCTACTTTAAGAAAAAATAATAATAAATTAAGTTGTTTTATGCATTCGAATAATTAGACATGCTAAAACACAGAATTTGGTAACAATAAAAAATATAAATAATATGGTGAGAAAAAAATAAAACATTTCATAGGGCCCTAAACATGTAATTTTTGTTCAACTTTTAATAAATTGATGTGAAAATGTATAAGTTTCATGATTTTATTTAATAAGAATAAAATACAATTTTTCTCTATATATTTCATCATTGAGGATTTCTTTAAAAAAAGTCTTTTAAAAATGAATTTATCACACATTTATAAAGAGCTTCATGCATTACAGCATTGAAATGACAGGATTGTTGTTTGCTGACTGTATTTATGCTGTTGTTTTGTTGTGCTCGTTATTCATGATATTTGAAGTCTGTGTGTAATAAAATATTATGCATTAAAAATGTTTCATATTATCTGCTTTTTAAGAGCCATAAAAATATCTGTGAATTAAATTATGGACAATTAAATTTATTTTACTTGGTAATTCATTTTCTGAACATAAAATTTACTACTTAAAAAAAAAAAGTATATTCTTGAAGGAATGTCTCTTTTGCTCATCAAGGCTGCATTTATTTGATCAAAAATACAGTAAAAACTGTAAAATTGTGAAATATTATTTTAATTTAAAACAGCTGTTTTCTATGTGAATCTCTGTTAAACTGTAATGTATTTCTGTGATGCGCAGCTGTATTTTCAGCATCATTCCTCCAGTCTTCAGTGTCACATGATCTTCAGAAATCAGTATAATATGCTGATCTGCTGCTCAAGACACATGTCTGATTATCATCAGCAGTCGTGCTGCACAATATTTTTGAGGAAATCGTGATACATTTTATTTTTCAGGATTCACAGATGAACAAAGTTCAAAAGAACAGCATTTATGTGAAATAGAAATCTTTTGTAACATTATAAATGTCTTTACTCTCACTTCTGATCAATTTAATGCGTCCTTGATGAATAAAACCCCAGAGGTTTCAACAGTAGTGTATAGTTTCCTTGAGAGTAATTTTCTGTGTCTTTTGTCTTTTCGGTCCTTATGGAAACTCTTTGCCGTTCTCTCTTCACATTCAGGAAACAGACAAAGGTAAGACAAAGGTTACCTTCTGTTTATCCTACATCTTTATGTGCATGTTAATATTTATGCAAATGTCTTATTACATCCATATGGTTGTGAATCACTTAATACGCCATCTCTCCTGAATGCTGAAGTAGACTGAAGCAGCTCAGCTTTACTTGATTCTCCTTCAATCATGTTTTAGAGTCTCAAATCTGATCCTCAGGATCTTTTGAGGAGCGTTTGTTTCCAGAAGCTTTACTTTCACTGTTCCTCAGCGGAGGAATGATCTTCACAAGCCTCCAGAACATCTCACATCTTCTGAGGAGCCTTTATTTCTTCAGCTCTCAATCACTGCATTATATGTTTGGAGCATTTCAGTCTCATCTTATTATTACTGGAGATATAGAGCCACGACTGATATTTAGAGCTGTTTATCTAAATATCTGCTGTACTGTTATAAAGATCTCACTGATTTACATCACAAGCAGCAGAATTCATCATATAAATATCAGCATCTGCACCAAATTCATATTTTTGAATAGAATTCAGTGTTATTTTAGCATCATTGAGATATCAGTGTTTTGAATCAATTTTCATATTTTCCATTTTCATTTGCATTTTAGTTAAAGTTTTAGTAATTTTGTTATTATCTTTTAGTGGTATGTATGTGTATATATACAGTATATATAATTACTTTTGTTCAGTTTTAGTTATTTTAGTACAAGTTTTTAATTTAAAATGACAAATATTGACAATGACAAATTAATATTTTATTTCCTATATATATATATATGTGACGAGAGGGGCGGGGCCGAGAGCCGTGGGAACAGAGCGAGGCCGGTGGAGTAAGTGATAATGAGCGACACCTGCGCCACTCACCGGTCTCGAGTCTCACGGAGGAGCTCCGGAAGGATACAAAGGAGGAGTGACGACAGGGAAAGACGAGAGAGGACCAGGCCTGGAGTTTATTTTTTTTTTTAATAATAAAATAAACACAACAGCGCGACAGCCCCTCGCGGACGACTGTCGCGCACAAACAAAACACAAAATAAACTCCAGGCCTGGTCCTCTCTCGTCTTTCCCTGTCGTCCACTCCTCCTTTTATCCTTCCGGAGCTCCTCCGTGAGACTCGAGACCGGTGAGTGGCGCAGGTGTCGCTCATTATCACTTACTCCACCGGCCTCGCTCTGTTCCCACGGCTCTCGGCCCCGCCCCTCTCGTCACAATATATATATATACACACATTTTTTATTTTATGAAATAAAATATTAATTTAATAATTTTTTAATAATTTTTTTTAATGGTTTTAATTAGTTTCGGTTTTAGTTTTAGTTAACTATAATAACCCAGATAAAACTGAGCTGTTTTTTGCTCTAGATTCTCACTATATCAGACTATATGAGCCATAAAAGCCTAATGGATCAAACCTTCACATGAAAGTGTTTCCACATGCAGTCCGAGATCGTCAGACGAGGATGAGCGTCTGTGTGAATGTGTCAGGCCTCTAAGATCTCGTGAACGACACAAAGAGCTGCGGTGTGTGAGGCTTTGAGACACAGGCCCAGTGTGCAGCAGTCAAAGCTGCATTGTTCTGCAGCGTCTCCTCGCTGCCATTGTGTTCGGCAGACAGACTGCACTGCAGACTAATGCTTTATTTAGCCAGCGAGCCGATCAGAAACCTCACTGATTACTGGAAAGCATTTCTACAGCAGTATTTCAGCACAAACACCTGTGTTTTATTCACTAACTACTCAGAATATTGTTAAATCGGGCTCTTTCTGCCGTGCATATTTCAGCTGAGCCATCAGCATTCATTTTAATGCAAGCACTAATCCTCTCTGTGTAAATGACATTGATTATAGATTGCACTTTAGTCACAGAAGTCAGTGATGTTTCTCATCTGTCTTAATGTTGTTTATCGGCTAAACAGGAATGATTATTGATCTAAAAAATAATAATAATGCTTTTATTCATCAAGCATGCATTAAATTGATCAAAAGTGAGAGTAAAGACATTTATAATGTTACAAAATATTTCTATTTCACATAAATGCTGCTCTTTTGCACTTCCTGTTCATCTGTGAATCCTGAAAAATAAAATGCATCACAGTTTCCACAAAAATATTGTGCAGCACGACTACTGATAATAATCAGAAATGTTTCTCAAGCAGCAGAAGATTTCTGAAGATCATGTGACACTGAAGACTGGAGTAATGATCCTGAAAATACAGCTTTGATCAGGCCTGGTCCTCTCTCGTCTTTCACTGTCGTCACTCCTCCTTTTATCCTTCCGGAGCTCCTCCGTGAGACTCGAGACCGGTGAGTGGCGCAGGTGTCGCTCATTATCACTTACTCCACCGGCCTCGCTCTGTTCCCACGGCTCTCGGCCCCGCCCCTCTCGTCACAATATATATATATACACACATTTTTTATTTTATGAAATAAAATATTAATTTAATAATTTTTTAATAATTTTTTTTAATGGTTTTAATTAGTTTCGGTTTTAGTTTTAGTTAACTATAATAACCCAGATAAAACTGAGCTGTTTTTTGCTCTAGATTCTCACTATATCAGACTATATGAGCCATAAAAGCCTGATGGATCAAACCTTCACATGAAAGTGTTTCCACATGCAGTCCGAGATCGTCAGACGAGGATGAGCGTCTGTGTGAATGTGTCAGGCCTCTAAGATCTCGTGAACGACACAAAGAGCTGCGGTGTGTGAGGCTTTGAGACACAGGCCCAGTGTGCAGCAGTCAAAGCTGCATTGTTCTGCAGCGTCTCCTCGCTGCCATTGTGTTCGGCAGACAGACTGCACTGCAGACTAATGCTTTATTTAGCCAGCGAGCCGATCAGAAACCTCACTGATTACTGGAAAGCATTTCTACAGCAGTATTTCAGCACAAACACCTGTGTTTTATTCACTAACTACTCAGAATATTGTTAAATCGGGCTCTTTCTGCCGTGCATATTTCAGCTGAGCCATCAGCATTCATTTTAATGCAAGCACTAATCCTCTCTGTGTAAATGACATTGATTATAGATTGCACTTTAGTCACAGAAGTCAGTGATGTTTCTCATCTGTCTTAATGTTGTTTATCGGCTAAACAGGAATGATTATTGATCTAAAAAATAATAATAATGCTTTTATTCATCAAGCATGCATTAAATTGATCAAAAGTGAGAGTAAAGACATTTATAATGTTACAAAATATTTCTATTTCACATAAATGCTGCTCTTTTGCACTTCCTGTTCATCTGTGAATCCTGAAAAATAAAATGCATCACAGTTTCCACAAAAATATTGTGCAGCACGACTACTGATAATAATCAGAAATGTTTCTCAAGCAGCAGAAGATTTCTGAAGATCATGTGACACTGAAGACTGGAGTAATGATCCTGAAAATACAGCTTTGATCACAGGAATAAATTACAGTTTAACAGATATTCACATAGAAAACACGTATTTGAAATCATAATAATATTTCACAATTTTACTGTATTTTTGATCAAATAAATGCAGCCTTGGTGAGCAGAAGAGACTCAAAAACCCTAAAAACTCTGCATTACATTTCAACAATAGTGCATTAACTATCAGCTGATTAATCATACATAAACACATACATCTCAAATGTGAAAAATCAGGTGAAAGATTTTCAAAATGAAGTTTCAGGTTTATTAAAGCACATTTAAAACTGAACGAGGCTCACCAATGTGCGGAAAAACACGCAAACTTAATATCTTATGCAAAATTGTATTATTAGTTTGTTTATTTAATTAAATTAATGAATAATTGCAGAATTATTCTTTAAAAAAGAAGGAAAAGTGTATCGTGGGTTCATTCGATGAACTTTTTTTTCTCCTCTTCAGACTGTGTTTCACTCTGTTCTTAATCAGAGCACATTTGGGTCAGTCTGATTTCACAGATGAGAGACTCTGTGTTGCCCAGTGATCTCGAGAGACGGTGAGAAACTCATGCGCTCATAAAACACATCGCAGATGTGCACAAAACAGCTCCGTCTGCGTCACAATCACAATGGAAATGAGATCAGCTTAAAAGGTTATAAGAAAGTAAGACTTGTTTTCATGCAATCTTGAATATATAATATTTTCATATTAAATGTATTCTCAGATTTATTAGTTTTTCGGTGCGAATCAAATTCATCCGTCCCTTGACACTCACCGGCAAGTCCCTCGATTACATCCGTGCTGAACATTAATTTCTGTAAGATAATTGAAAAGTAGTGTATATACTGTATGCATGCATAAACACATTAATACTCACCTATGTATAAACCAGTATATATGCAAACACACGGTAAAAAGAAATAAAACTAAAATAAATTACATTTAAAAATGAAAAACAATAATTATATTAATAATAATAATAATATACCAGTAGGTATGCACACGCGAGGTAAGAAGAAATAAAAAAATAAATACATTTAATAATAATTTATATATCATGCAATCTTGGATATACGTGTATTTTCTTTTATTAGTTTTTCAATGCAAATCTAATTCTGACCATTAATTTCCATAAGCTAATTGAAAAATAGTGTATATAAATATATATATATATATATATATATACCCTTATGTACTGTATATACCAATATATATGCACACACACAAGGTAAGAAGAAATTAAAAAATAGATCAATAAAAATAAAAAATTAAATTAATTGCAAATTATTATTATTGTATATACCAATATATGCACAAGGTAAGAAAAAAATTGGAATTCAATACATTTATTTTTAAATAAAAAATACATTAAATGTAATTAATTAATTACTGATTATTATTATTAATAATAATAATAATAATAATTAAAAAGCAAACATGGTTTGGCATCCATTTAGTGTTTAATAGAGAGAAATTCAGTCAGTAATAGGGCATCAGAATGATTAAAATAAACAGTGGAAGGGCGCCAGATCTTAAAATATTCCTCTTAACGAGTACCTGAAATTTTTTAAGTTGAAGACGAGACATTATATCTCTGATCCACTGGATGGAATATAATTCCATTGGAAGATTTTGCTGATTTTGGAACAAGACTAGACTGTAAAATACATCTGAGTCTTAATATCTTATGCAACACTGATTCTCAGAGAAGTGCATCTTGTTTTAAGAGCTTTTAGATATTTTATTGCAAAACTGGGCGAACGTTTTTTATGCTTTAACAGTTGTCCGTTGTTTGGGATGTGAGATGAGGGAGGCCTGTGTCCTGTACGGATCCGCCGGCCGGTCGCTCTGGAAACACTGGTCACCAAAGCAGGAATTCATTCCTCCGTCTCCAGATTTATGTATCTAATTAACTGCGTCTCACAAAGACTGTTGCTGTACACAAGCGCCGTAAGAATGTCTCTCAGGAGGAACCGCATCGCATCGCTCACATGCTGCTCTTTTACAGCTCAGGAGACTTGGGTTTGATTGAGAAATTGTTGAGATCTCTTGTGAATCTCTGAAGGAGACGTGTGAGGTTTTTCCTCAGGAGAGACAGCTGAGATGCATTTAATCTCAGTCTGTCTTCAAGAAACAAGTATATTAATATTTATGCATTTGGCAGATGCTTTTATCCAAAGCGACTTGCAGTATTAGTTCATGCATTCCCTGGAAATCGAACCCATGATCTTGGCATTGCTTGTGCCATATTCTACTGTTTGAGCTTCAGGAATGAATATACGTGAAATGCATTTTGCAACCCATTTTTCTTCCGTAATGAGATGAATTTCTGAGTGAAACAGGATGTTTAGTCATAAAAGAGAGGATGGGAATCGATTTTGTTCATTGGGAATTGAAAGAATCGTAAAATAGTGATGCTTACAAATATTAATATTAAGTGAAAAACGTTAAATTGTTGACTTGGCAACTAACTGACAGAATTCAAAAATTTGATTATGTAAATTAATTGTTCATATATTTGCATATTTTATGAATGCAGTTTATACAGTACCTTACTTGTGCAATATATTTAATAATTTTTTTGTCTTGTATGTTGATAGGTGGCTTATATTTGTATTTATTTATTGGAGTTAATATGTGAATATGCATGCTTTGTGGATTTGTTTTTGTTTTTTTTATTTGAGGACAATTTTTAATTTTTTTGTTATTTTGTTCTTGTCATATTTATTAGTTTTAGTTTTTTTTAAATACTACTGTTTCCTAAATTACTGTATTACTTTAATTGTTTTTTATTTCACTGTAACTTCAGTGCTTCAAATTAAATTAATTTCTGTTAGTTGCCAAGGCAACATTTCAGATTTTTCATCTAATATTTTATTTTATTTCATTTTACTAGATTTTTTTATTTTATTAAAAAAAAAAATATTTTAATTAACAAAAATGTTTTTAATAGTTTTAGTTAACAGTAGTAACCCTGATCTGCCTAGCAACTACTCAGAGCACCCTAGCAACCGTGTAGCATGGGATATAAAACTTCAAAGTTCAAGCTAACTTATGAACCGTTTTAAATATTAACAGAGTTTGTCTTGTTGCGCTCAACATTTCCAGTGAGACGATGATATTTCGCATCAGAGTACGTTTCTGCATCAGTAGGTTCAGCTTTATGAATGTTCTGTGATAAATGAAATGAATGGAGAAAGTAATTGTGTTTACTCGTTGCTCAAACAGGGTTTATGTCGATATAACGAGAAAATAAGTCGTTATAACGAGAAAACAACTCTCGTTATGTCGATATAACGAGAAATTAAGTCGTTATAACGAGAAAACAAGAAGGAAAAAAAATAATAATGCATGGCCGCTTAGAACTTCCGTATTAATGAGTTGTGACAGTCAACAGAAGATCCGTGTGCAGAACGCCGCAGGTCCGGCTTTATTCAGCTCTTCACAGCTGCCTGAAATTAAATGGGAATTTCCTTCGAAAAGCAATAATAATACAGAAAACAGAGTGGAATATTCACTTCTCCTCAGTGTTTTTATTCTTAACTAGAGCTATTACAAATATTTTTGTTTATTTATATATATATATAATTATGAAATAAAAATTAAATGACACATTTAAACAATAATTAGAAATGTTGACTTGGCAACTAACTGAGAGGGTTATTTTATTATCATTGAGATACTATTGTAGTTTTTGTTCATATTTTGAATTAGTTTTTATTTTTATATTTTCAGTTTTCATTAAAATTTTAGTTAAAGTTTTAGTAATTTTATTGTTTTTTTTTTATTTGAGTAGTTTTTGTTTTTAATGTCTATATATTTTATTAGTTTTTATTTTAGTTTGAGTTATTTTACTACATCAGGTTTTTAAATAAAAATGACAATTATTGCCTTTATACATTTATATTTAATTTGATTTGATTTTAGTTAACGTTTATTTTATTTAAAGTAACAGTTTTTAAGTGATTTTGTTATGTGCTTTTGTTATTTTTATTCATTACTTCATACTTTTTAAAATAATTTTAGTACTTCAGCTTCAGCTTATTTTATTTTAGTTAGTTGCCAATGCAACAATTTTAAGTTTTTCATGTAGTATTAAAAAATACTGTGTTTTTTTACGTTTTTGTCAAATTTTGACACTATATGTCTATATAGTTTTCATTCATTTTTATTTCAATTTTAGTTTAGGTTATTTTAGTACATCAAGTTAAACGAAATGAGAATGAGAAATGTTGCCTTGAATGTTGAAATAAAATTAAATAAAAATTAAATATTTTATTTTATTTAAAAAAAATTTATTTCAATTAACGAAAATGGTTTTATGGTTTTAGTTTTAGTTACTCTAATAACACTGCTAAATGAAATCTTAAATGAGTTTAAGTTAAAGTGCTAAAATTACTAAAACTGAAATAAAAATAAATGTATAAGAAACTAAAGTTTTACAAAATTTCAGAAATTTTACAAAAATAATAAAAATGCTGAAAGCACACAGCAAAATGACTCAAATTAAAATGAAAACTGAAAATATAAAAATAAAAGCTAATTCAAAATATAACACATATGAATAGTAAATAAATAATAAAAAGCACTGGTGGATATCTAGTTTACTTGCAAGTCCCATTTTTGTATTCAGACGGCTTTTGTGGAAGGTGTTTCTATTGAAAGTCAAGGAAACTGTGGAGATTTCTTTGTGAACGCTCTGTGATTGTGACGGTTGTGTGTGTTCGTCCCGCAGGTCAGGAGGTCGTCTTCAAGTGCCTCGGGGAGGGAATACTTGAAAACGCCTTTCAAGGATACAACGCCTGCATTTTTGCCTACGGACAAACAGGTAGAGTTATATATCTGTGCTCTTATGTGACGTGACATGTTTGAATAGATGCTCATTCATTGTCACAAGAGCGCCGGTGATTCTGCAAGATGTTAACGAGCACACAAACATATTGAGTTCACACTGTACAAACAAACAAGGAGGAATTTCCTCTCTTTACGTCGTCTTCAAGTGCCTCGGGGAGGGAATACTTGAAAACGCCTTTCAAGGATACAACGCCTGCATTTTTGCCTACGGACAAACAGGTAGAGTTATATATCTGTGCTCTTATGTGACGTGACATGTTTGAATAGATGCTCATTCATTGTCACGAGCGCCGGTGATTCTGCAAGATGTTAACGAGCACACAAACATATTGAGTTCACACTGTACAAACAAACAAGGAGGAATTTCCTCTCTTTAACCTAGATTTACAGTGAACACGAATCTCACCAAAACCGCAGGAAATGAAATTATATTGTGCATGAAGAAAATACATCATAAAAAATACAGCCTTTTTTATGATAATTAATGCACATTTGTCCCCTCAAATTTTCATTAATGTGTTTTGTTCCGATGTTTTACTTGTGAGTGTTTTTGTAATTATTCTCAATGACAATTCTTCCTAGACAAGTAAAAAAAAGTTACCGTGAAATCATAAAACCAGATTAACCAGATTTTAATTTTTTTTTGTCTTAAATGTTTAAACTAAGAGTTGAAAAAAGATCAATTGTATTTTTTTTCTTTGCATAAAAAATATTCAAAAATAAAAGAAAAATAAAGATACATTAAACATAGGAAAAATGTGTATTCATTTTTATTTATTAATTATTTGTATATAAAGAGAAATTTTACATTTTATCTTTTTTTCTAATTTTAGTCGTCATAACCAGATTAAACCTGATTTTTTTTTTCTGTTTTTTGTCTTAAATGTTTAAACTAAGTGTTATATTTTATTTTTTCTCTATATAAAAATAAAGATACATTAAAGATCTGAAACATTAAAAAATTTGCAATTTTAAATTTTTATTTACTGATTTTTTTGTATATGAAGATAATTTTTCTAATTTTAGTTATCATAAAATAATCAGATTAAACCTGAAACTTTTGTTTCTGTTTTTTAATTTTTTTATTTGCATTTTATTTATTTTTTCCTTTAAAGATACGTTAAGGATCTGAAAAGCAGGAAAACCATTCTTATTTTTTATTTATATTTTTTTATTATTTGTATTTTTCAATATTATTTAAGTAGTACAAAATAAACCAAAATGTATATTTTTTTCTGTTCTGTTTCATATTTTTTATGTATCTTTATTTGTCTTTTAAATTATTATTTTAATCATTATTTAAATTTATGTAATACATTTTTTTATTATTTATTTTTATATTTTATTGTATTACTTTGAATTATTTTATGTTTAATTTTATATATTTAATTTAATTATTTTGTTGCCCAGGCAGCACAAATGAAATTCACCTGTAATGGTAACCGAATGCAGAATTAAATTAAAAAGCAGATTACCATTAATAAGAGTCCAGTGTGTCATATGGTCTGTGTGTAAATATGAATCTGATATATTTCTCCGTGCATGAACAGGAAGCGTCTGTGCTTTCAGTCACAGGAAACTATTAAAATCAATAAGAAAATTATTAATATTTACATTTTTAACTGTTTCTTTATATATATATGTATATATAATGTATTTTATTTATAATTTAATTAGTAGATTATTTCATGTCCTATTTTATGGCTTTTAAATTTTTTTTCTATTTGTCACAATTTTATACTTAACAATGTTCATTCTATATTTAATATTTGCCTTTTTTTGAATCACTTAATTTTAAAAAATTTTAATCTTTAATTGTTTTTTTTTACTATTTTTTAAATGTATTAATAGTTTTAATAGTAAATTATTTATTGTCCTATTTTCATGCCTTTAAAATGTAATTTTTAAATTATTTAATTATTTAAAAAATGTTACAATTATATACTTGACTTTTTATTTTATCTTTTTTTACATGTTTAAATGTTTTATGTTTACCTTGTTTTGTGCTATATTCATTTACTTTATTAATAGTTATTAATTATAATTATAATTATAATTTTTTTTTATCTTTACCTTGTTTTGTGCTGTATTCACTCAAGTTATCATTTAATTCGTTTTTTTTTTTTTCATTTATCAAAGTTTTTATTTTATTTTATGAAGTTCAGTTTGTATGTGATGGTGCCGAATCAAATCAAATGCTCTGCTTGAGGCCCAAACAAAAGGACGATTGTGAATCAGTGTCCAGGGAACATTGATAGCGTCCTAGAGAAACCTCTGATCTGTGATGGTGTTTCCTCACACGTCTTCTCTCTCCTCCGTCTGTACAGGAGCAGACAGTCTCTGAAGGTCAGAGAGCATAAAGTCCTGGGTCCGTATGTGGACGGTCTGTCTCAGCTGGCTGTGATGAACTTCGAGGTGAACATGACTCTCCTCAACTCCGCTTCAAATGTTACATTAAAGTATCGACTTTGTTTCAGATGTTTCTCCCAGAATTCCGTAGAATGCTTTTGACTGACAGTGTGTCATATATACAGTATGTCACAGATATGTCATATCTGTAAAGTTCTTTGTAATTCGACCAGCAAAAAAAAACAAACATTTTTTTTACATACACACCAAACTATGTTCTGATTAGAAATGTGTTTGCTGTCCAGATTGGCTCGTTTTCTCTCACTGTCTCCGCTTACAGTGAACTATTAGTTTGTTAGTTGTTGTATGTCGTTTAGTTGCATGTTCTCTCATCTGCGCCTCCTGCAGGACATTGAGTCTCTGATGTCGGAGGGGAATAAATCACGCACAGTAGCCGCCACTAACATGAACGAGGAGAGCAGCCGATCGCACGCCGTCTTCAGCGTCATCGTCACGCAGACGCTGTATGACCTGCAGTCTGGGGTCAGTGCTGCTCTACTATCAGGGTTCACCACATTTAAACGCAACGAAACTTCCATTGTTTGTTATTACAATAAAGTCCCTAATGATAATAGAATTATTGAACTTTGTTTATTTATCCAGGTCTCACTGGAAGAAGAGATATCTCAATATCTCAATGTGATTTCCTGGCTAAATAAAGGAATAATAATAATAATAATAATTTGTGACATGCAGCATAAGTCATTGAGACATTTCTCTTCCATCACAAAATAATCCATCAATAGTTTTTGGAATTTATTTATAGTTATAATTAAGTAAATTATTTTGTGTCCTATTTTTGTGGATTTATTTAATTATTTTAATTTGTATTTAATTATTTACTTAAATTTGTATTCAATTATTAAATATAATGAAAGTCTTCATTTATTTATTTATTTTGTTCAATTAAAAATGTTTTAAATATTTTTGATTTGTTATAATTTTATTAATTATAAATTTCCATTTTCAATTCTGTTTTTTTAAATATTTTGTGCCCTTTTACGCTGCAAAAAAATGCTTTTCTTACTTATAGAATTATTGAACTTTGTTTATTTATCCAGGTCTCACTGGAAGAAGAGATATCTCAATATCTCAATGTGATTTCCTGGCTAAATAAAGGAATAATAATAATAATAATAATTTGTGACATGCAGCATAAGTCATTGAGACATTTCTCTTCCATCACAAAATAATCCATCAATAGTTTTTGGAATTTATTTATAGTTATAATTAAGTAAATTATTTTGTGTCCTATTTTTGTGGATTTATTTAATTATTTTAATTTGTATTTAATTATTTACTTAAATTTGTATTCAATTATTAAATATAATGAAAGTCTTCATTTATTTATTTATTTTGTTCAATTAAAAATGTTTTAAATATTTTTGATTTGTTATAATTTTATTAATTATAAATTTCCATTTTCAATTCTGTTTTTTTAAATATTTTGTGCCCTTTTACGCTGCAAAAAAATGCTTTTCTTACTTCGATTAATTACTTAGAAAATTATTGTCTTGTTTTCAGAAAACAAAAGTCCAAAGTGAGTTTTTGCTTCAAACAAGCAAAATAATCTTGTTTTCTGTTTGAAATAAGATTATTTTTCTTACCCCATTGGCAGATTATTTAGCTTGTTCTAAGCAAAAACTCACCTAATTTTGAATCATTTTTTCTGAAAACAAGACAATAATTTTTACTTAAGAATTTTTAGATATTTTGGCTGGAAACAAGCCAAAAAAAATCTAAGTAAGAAAAGCATTTTTTGCAGTGTAAGTAAATTAATTTTTACATTCCTTTGATCTTTACACTGTTATTGCATTTATATATATGTATATATTGCACTTTTACAGCACAAGTCATTGAGTCTTTCACATGATCATCTCTCATCTGTCACAGAAACATCAAGAATAACTTTATTCATACTAACTTCATTAGTAAAAGTCGTAGAAGAAATCGTCATTTCTTTAGTAGTAAGATTTATATCAGTTACTCACGTCACTTACATCACATTATTATTCTTAAATATTATTTTAAGAGTGGAATAACTTTATTTGCAGAATATGGTTGTAGAGTGTTAATTTTAGACCCTGGTAAGGATCTCAGACACACGTTTTGTGCAGATTCATTATGTTGTTGATTGCAATATTTTCTTTTATGTCTGTGTTTGTGTGTGTAATTGTGAACGCAGAATTCTGGTGAGAAAGTGAGTAAGATCAGTCTGGTTGATCTGGCCGGCAGTGAACGCGTATCTAAGACTGGAGCTGCTGGAGAGAGACTGAAGGAGGGCAGCAACATCAACAAGTAAGACGACCGCCATATTCAGACTTGCTTATAATGATCGAAAAACAAACAATATGTTGGCAGTCGTTGTATGCAATCTGGGAAATTAGTCTAAAGAGGATAAAAGCTGGCACTCGGAGCAGAAAAGAGTATGAATAAAAGAATATAGGGCTCTTTACAAACCTACTTGAGTAGAGGAAGGCTGCAGACTGTAATAGATGCTATATGAATGAACTGCATCATGTAAAATGATGGCTCCTCTCAAACTAATGATTAATTCAATCATAAAAATTTAAATAAATAAGTAATTGCAAAATAAAACACTTAAAAGTAATTACATAATAAAAATGTCAAATTTAATTAATTGTGATTGTCTTTGTGGTATTTTTTGATGTCTCTGTGGTGTTTTATGTTGTCTCTGTGGTGTTTTCTGATGTCTCTGTGGTGTTTTATGTTGTCTGTGGTGTTTTCTGATGTCTCTGTGGTGTTTTATGTTGTTTTTGTGGTGTTTTCTGATGTCTCTGTGGTGTTTTCTGATGTCTCTGTGGTGTTTTATGTTGTCTCTGTGGTGTTTTCTGATGTCTCTGTGGTGTTTTATGTTGTCTCTGTGGTGTTTTCTGATGTCTCTGTGGTGATTTATGATGTTTCTGTGGGGTTTTCTGATGTCTCTGTGGTGTTTTATGTTGTTTTTGTGGTGTTTTCTGATGTCTCTGTGGTGTTTTTTGATGTCTCTGTGGTGTTTTCTGATGTCTCTATGGTGTTTTATGTTGTCTCTGTGGTGTTTTCTGATGTCTCTGTGGTGTTTTATGTTGTCTCTGTGGGGTTTTCTGATGTCTCTGTGGTGTTTTATGTTGTCTCTGTGGTGTTTTCTGATGTCTCTGTGGTGTTTTATGTTGTTTCTGTGGGGTTTTATGATGTCTCTGTGGTGTTTTCTGTTGTTTCTGTGGGGTTTTATGATGTCTCTGTGGTGTTTTATGTTGTTTTTGTGGTGTTTTCTGATGTCTCTGTGGTGTTTTATGTTGTTTCTGTGGTGTTTTCTGATGGTGGTGTTTTTTGTATGTCTCCAGGTCTCTGACAACGCTGGGCTGTGTTATTTCTGCACTCGCTGATCAGTCTGCAGGAAAAGGCAAGAGCAAGTTTGTGCCGTACAGAGACTCAGTGCTGACGTGGCTGCTGAAGGTGAGGATGTTCATCAGAGCTCATCGAACACTGTTTAAATATGCAGGTGAATTGAACTCGAAATCGAACTCTTTTCCTTTGCTTCTACAGGATAATCTGGGTGGCAACAGTAAGACGGCCATGATCGCCACCATCAGCCCAGCCGCTGACAACTACGAGGAGACACTTTCGACGCTACGCTACGCCGACCGAGCCAAGAGAATCGTCAACCACGCCGTGGTGAATGAGGATCCCAATGCCCGAATCATCAGAGAGCTGCGGGAGGAAGTGGAGAAGCTGAAGGTGCAGCTCTCGCAGGCTGAGGTGAGCAGGGAATTATGGGAGAATATCTGAACTGAAGGCTACAGCTACGCTCTAATACAGGGTGAAAAAGTATTTTCATTGCCATGGACCCCCAAATAGGATCATACTCCTGCGAGGGACCCCCATCCTAACATTTAAAAGGCACCTATATACTTTAATGTATGAAGACCCTATTTATATTGTGAAAAATTTATATTATAAATATGTAAAATATTATTTGGAAAATAATTCGTTTTTATATATGTGCATGTTTTTCTACTCACTACAGTACTGTACTGTTAGCTGCATTATTTATTGTATAAATACTTTAACTAAACTAATATTTTAACTAAAATTAAAATGAATATGTAAAATATAAAAATAAACTAATTCAAAATATTATTAAAAACTACGATAATATATCACTGATACTAAAATGAGGAGCTGTTAATGATAACGTTTGTTATGTTGTGTCGGTCAGTCTCTGAAGGCTCCTGAGCTGCAGGAGAAACTCCAGGAGTCTGAGAAACTCATTCAGGAGATGACGGTAACCTGGGAGGAGAAACTCCGGAAAACTGAGGAGATCGCACAAATACCTGTCATACCTTTGTCATTATACACATTGATGTCCTCATTTGTCACAAAAACGCATACACACGCACACACACACACACACACACACACACACACACAGAGAAACTAATCAGAGAAAGAGCTCACCTGAGCATGTGAGGTTTGATTGACCGCTGTCGTCTCGCTGTGATTGGTCACTGCAGGACCGTCAGAAGCAGCTGGAGAGCATGGGAATCTCTCTGGAGTCGTCAGGGATCAAGGTCGGAGAGGACAAGTGCTTCCTGGTCAACCTGAACGCTGATCCGGCTCTCAATGAGCTGCTGGTTTACTATCTGAAGGTACATTGATCGTGCACTGAGACGTCATTAGTGAGGTTTGCATCACTGTTACTGTCGCTCATTCATTCCCAGTGAACGGTTGCACGAGGGGTGCAAGCATTGCTGATGCTCTTTTATGTTTTATCTCAAGGGGCACATAAGAATAGCTTATTTGTCCATTTTTTCGAATGGGCAAATTAATAGAAACTGTTTAATGTATGCTTTAAAATGTAGTTAAAAAATATTAAAAAATAAATTAATAAATACTATTTCGTTTTTTGTTAAAAGGAATTAAAGTTTTAAATATTTTATTTATTTTTCATATACTCACTACAGTACTGTACTTCATTATTTAATTACTTATTTTATATTATAAAATAAATAAATAAATATATATATATTTATATATATTTATATTTGTTTATTTATGTATTTAAATCTAATTTTTATTATTTATTATCATTATTATTATATTTTTTTATCTCATTTTTTAATTTATTTTATTTTATAAATTATAACAAATAAAGAATTATTAAATTTGTATTATTATTTATTTTTTATTTAAATATAATTTTTATTTACTTTATATTATATATTATAAAATAAATAAAGATTTATTTTATATATTTATTTATTATTATTTTATATACAATAATACATGTATAGTTATTATTTATTAATTATAAAACAGTTAATTATTTTTTATGTATTGTTTTATTTAGCTATATTTTAAAACATTAAATAAACAGTTTTAAATATGTCTATTAATTTGTCCATTTAAAAAGTAATTTATTTATTTCCACTTTTATGCCTCAGTTGTTAAATTGATTCATTTTTAAGTGTCACTCCGTGCTCCTTGCCATGCATGACTGCTATCAAAATTTATTTGCAAACAAACTGAAATTGCATTATGGATGAATCATTTCTGGAAGTTGCGGAAATTAAAAAGGTGGTTTTCGGTTCAGTGAGTTGTTAAACCAATCTGACCAATTCAGACTGATTCATTAGATTCAGCCCATTCTTTCTGAAGAAGAATGATTCATTCAGTGTAGCTGTTGACCCAAGCAAGATGCTTGCTCTGGTTCAGGATCACACGCGTGTGGGGGCCGACACGTCTCAGGACATCCAGCTGTTCGGCATCGGGATCCAGTCTGAACACTGTGTGCTGGAAGTCACGTCTGACGGAGACGTCGCGCTCACGCCGGCAGACAACGCCAGGTAACAAACACAAACCTGTGCGCAGTTTCAGTGCTGTTTATTAGATAATAATAATTGACAATTAAATCAATGTATGCAAGATGAATGGTGCCAGTGGAAAAAAAATGAAATGAAAAAAAAAATACGTTGTAACTGACAAATAATGATCAAATGGATGTGAAGTTACTGGTGAAGGAAAAAAAGACAAATTAAAATATTTTAAACAAATTAAAATCACGGCAAAATCAGTGGAAAGAAATTTATTTTGCAGAGTGTTTAAATATATATATATATAATAATCTTTACATTACATGAAGCTTTGCAAATGACATAATTCTCCTTATACACTTAAACCACTTATATTATTTCTGTATATTTCTCATTAAGTTCATAAGAATCATTCATATTTTATTATAGGATTTATTAATATTATATTTTAATATTTTCAATTTTTTTTTAGCTTTTTTTGTAATTTTTTAAATAATTTTCTATCATCATATATATATATATATATACGTACACACACACACACACACATATATATACAGTACTTCATAATTTTAGTACTTCAGCTTAAACTAAACAAAAATTACAAATGTTGGCAACTTGCTAAAAAATAATGTTTTTTTTATATTTTATTTTATTTAAATTATTGTCAATGTTTTAGTTTTAGTCAACGATAACAACACTGATAATTCTGAGTATTTCCGAATATAAACATATATATGTTTGCATAATATCTTTATTCATTTTTATTTCAGTTTTATTAATTTTAGTACTTAAACTACAAAGAAATTGAAATGTTGCCTTGACAACTAACTAAAACAGCTATTTTTAAATATTTTATTTCAGTTGTTGTGCATTTTTTAGATAACAACATCATAATTCTGAATATTTTCTGAAAACATTAAAATACATAGGATTTTATATGCATTTTTATATTGTCTTGTTAATGGCAGTGGTTTATGGGATGTGCGTTCGCGTTCGCCTTGTGTCTTATTTGTGCAAGGTATTGTGTCTGATTGTGACAGGACCTGTGTGAACGGGACGATGGTTTACTCCAGGGTCCACCTGTGGCACGGCGACCGCATCCTGTGGGGAAACAACCACTTCTTCAGGTGAGCTGCAGCTGCACACGCACAGGCGTCTCTCTCGGGGGTCAGACTCATCCGAGCGAATGTCGTCCTCAGAATCAGTCTCCCGACGCGCAAGCGGCGCGAGCGAATGAAGGAGCCGGAGCACGACAGCTTCGTGGAGGCCGACGTGGAGACGGCGAGCCAGGCCTCGTCTGAGCAGGACTACAGCTACGAGTTCGCACAGATGGAGGTCATGATGAAAGCGCTGGGCAACAACGGTACACACCTGACCTTTGACACACACAGTACACACAATGACATGCATGGCACAGTTTAAGATGCTGAGATGCTTCTCAATATCATTATATGAAATATTAACCACATCTGTACATCCCCAAACCTAAATCCAATATGCGTTTACCTGCTTGTATTCTCATTGCTGATTATTGCTGAAAATGCAATAAAAATAAAGAATAATTTTTTTTATTAATGAATTATTTGAATTTACCTGATTATCACATCTATATATTCCTATAACTAGATACATTTAGCTGATTGTGTTCTCAGTGCTTATAATGAAAATACAATAAAAATGTATTATAATTTATTTTGAATAATTAATTAATTATTTGAATTTACCTGATTATCTATATCTTAACTATATATTCCTACAACAACACAAATTTACCTGCTTGTATTTTCATTGCTGATTATTATGAAAATGCAAAAAATAAATATATATATAATAAAAATTTAACATTTAAAAAAAAAAGTTATTTAAATTAGAGCCCGACCGATATATTGTTTTGCCGATTTTATCAGCCGATATGAGCCTGTCGCAGATATATCGTATCGGAGAATATGCCACCGATATGAAATTACCTAGTTTGTCCAGCAGAGATTGTTTGCCATTGTTTGCTACTGGTGACCTGGATGAAACGCTTCAAAGCGTAAGCGTATGGAATACCATTGAAACTTTCAAGAGGCGTTCAAGAGGGCTTTTCGAGCTGAAGGGATCCCCCGAATTTGGTGGAGATCCGCCGGTGCGTTCGAGAGATAGTGACACCAGCCAACACTTTCCCTTCAGTAAGGAGGTCTCTTGTTGTTCAGGCAGCATTCTTATTCGACCGTAAGTGCCCTGCGAAGTGGACTTCACATACAGGCTCGGAGTGTCTCTGCTGTCGCTGAAATGATGGGCTATCCTCCTGGAGTACTCTCTTTTTGCTAGACTAATTTTGTCAGACTAATTTTGGATAATAAAGTTTATTGTTAAACTGTTAAATGCCCTGCCTCCATTACGTATCTCTGTCACATCATTGTAAGTGTTTGATCACCACATTTGAGTGATCATTGCAAAAAATGTGTTTATGTATACAGTATATATTCTGTTAATGTATGTACTGTAGTATTCTAAATATAGTACCAGTCAAAAGTTTGGACACACGAATGGGAAAGTGTCCAAACTTTTGATTGGTACTGTACTATAATATACACAAAGAATACCGGCCGATATATCGATTTTTTTACTCCCTAATATCGGTATCGGTATCAGCCCCCAAAAATCCATATCGGTCGGGGCTCTAATTTAAATGTACCTGCTTATCTTGTTTAAAGCACAAACAAGTCAAAAACAAGTCAAAAAATCTGCCAATGCAACACTTATATTTTCTGAACACAAACCCTAATATCTTAAAGGGTTTTGCATCTCAAGTAAATTTATCTGTTATTATGATGTTTAAATAATAAGAATTCAAGAATAATGTAAAATAAGGTGTTTTTTGTTGCACTCTGTTACTTGAACACTGTAAAAGTGTTTCTCTTCCGGAGAAAATCAGCCATTAGCAGTTATATTTTAGTATTTTTTTGTTGTTGTTGTTGGTGTTGTATTAATTATAGTATTTATAAATATTTTGAATTACCTTTTGCTTTTAGATTTAAGTTTAGTTTTAGTTTACATTTTGTTATGTGCTTTTGCCATTTTATTATTTTTTTTTAAAATCTATCTTTAATAATATTTTGAGGTTTTACTTTGTTTTAATTTTAGTTTTTGCAATTTAGTTTTTTAAATGTTGCTTTAATTTATTTCTATTTCAGTTTTAGGTTTAGTAAGATTTATATTCCAAAGCCACTCATATAATGCAGAAACACTCAAGCAAGCAAAACACGCGCAACGCGTGCAGGTATTTGTACTGATGCAGAATAGTACAGCCTAGCGCATTTCACACAGGCTGCTAGATTCACTTTCGCCAGAAAGTCGTGTATGCCTAGGTTGAAAATAAATGATGTTTATAGTGAATGCCCCATGAATGGTTTTATTTTTACGATTTAGTTTCAATCCAAATGATGCGTGTGCTGAACATCAAAGATCACACAACAGAACTGTGCGCTCTCTCTCTCTCTCTCTGTCTGTGAGAAAGATATATTCACTCGACAAGTTCGCGCATCTGCGCCGCCACGCACTCAACCCACTCAGCGTGCTTTGTTTATCAGCTCGCACACATCAGCTATATAGACGTTAATACTGAATGTTTAACATTATATTCATTGCATAAATATACTTCGTAGTAGACATCCTTTACTCCATTCTGCTGTCTGTTGTCGGTGCTTCTTTGTATGGATATGGTGCTTAATTTATGCTGTGTGGTATCGGCGTTTGGTATCGGGGCATTTTAACGAGTACGAGTATGAGTACAGGAGCTCAGTATCGGGCCCCATACCAGTATCGGTATCGGTGCATCCCTAGTAATTTTTTTCCTTTTCACTTTTTCACATCTTTAATGAAAAAAGTGTTTCTCTTCCAGAGAAAATCAGCCATTAGCAGTGCTATTTTAGTATATTTTTAGTTTAATTATAGTATTTATTAATATTTTGAGTGACCTTTTACTTTTTTTTAGGTTTCATTTTAATTTTAGTAATTTTGTTATGTGCTTTTGTCATTTTATTATTATTTTTTAAATCTATCTTTAATTATATTTTGAGCTTTTACTTTGTTTTTACAGTTTTCATTTTAATTTTAGTTTTTGTGATTTCGTTTTTTTAAATATTGCTTTAATTTATTTGTATTTCAGCAATAGTTTTCCTTTTCACTTTTTTCGCATTTTTAATGTTTAAGTTTCCTTTAAATGCGTGTTTTACATCTAATATTTATATATATATTTTTTTATTTCAGCTTTATTTCAGTTAACGAATCAGCAAAGCATTATGGCATGATTTCCGTTAGTTTTAGTTGTATTTGTCCTCGTCTCAGACCCCATGCAGAAGGCGGTGCATGCTCTGGAGAAGCAGTATGTGGAGGAGAAGCGTGTGGCGCTGGAGGAGCAGCGGCTGATGTACGAGCGCGAGCTCCAGTCTCTGCGGCAGCAGCTCTCGCCGGAGAAAGCGTCTCAGCACCAGCGCTGCAGCAGCTTCCCCACACACAACACACACAACAAACTGCGCCTGTGGACCGACGAGAGGTCAGAACACACACACTTTCTGGAGCAGCCTGGTTTTTACTTTGCATTCTTGTATGTGAAATAAATGCAGTGCATTATTTGATTTAGTTCATGGCTATGGATGCATGTGATGCTGCATTAGCTGATGCATAAGTGTCTTAAAAGGCAACATAGTCATGCCGCCTGCGTTTTGAAACAGCCTTCAGGTTGTGTTGACTTAAAATACTACCTAGGTAGGCAGCTCACTAGGTTTTGGACTAGACTCGACTCATGATTGATTTCAGTATGGTTGACATTGACATGTGATGCTATACTGTAAAATGCATAAAAATACCCCAAAACAATGAACTTTTTAATAGATGCTTTAGTATTAAAGGAGAATTATTTAATCAGTAATATTATATTATATTAATATAAATTATAAACATATATATAAATTATAAATGTATATTTATAATCATTATTTTTCCTGCTTTGTATTTATTCACTGAGCTCGTCACAATCTGCATTTTAATATCATTGAGGTGCTATTATCGTTTTTATTAATATTTTGAATTATTTGTATATTTTCCATTTTAATTTTAGAAATGTAGCTGTTTTTTTTATTATGTTTTTTTTTTAAATATGTGTCATTTTTATTTTTATATTATTATTATTAATATTATTTTAATATGTTGTGTTATTTATTTTAATAATTTTAGTACTTAAACTAAAACTAAATGAAAATTAGAAATGTTGCCTTGGCAACTAACTGATTTAAGGTTTTAATAAGTAAATAATTATATACTATTATTAGTTATATAATATTAATAATTAATGATATACTATTAATTATATAATACATAAACAAATAATGCAATAAATATGTTTTTATATTTTATTTAAATAATTTTTTTTTTTTTATAAATAGACTTTAATAACCTTGGTCACAGTGTATTATGGGATTGATTTCACCATAAATGATACATGCAATTCAGCCTTTGAGCTTTTGGCCAAAAGAAGGCGCTTAGAAGTTATAATCATGCCGTCTTCCTTTTTGAAACAGTCTTCCTGTTGTGCCTGTGATGCCTTAAATTACTGCCTACATAGACAGCTCACTAGGTTTTGGAACAGATCCGTATTGTTTTCAAAATGAAGTGATTTCTCCATAGACACGCATGCGTGTGTTTCAGGGACGAGCTGTTCCGTCAGAGTCTGTCTCGGCTGCGTGAGCAGGTGGTCCGAGCGAACACTCTCGTGCGAGAGGCCAACTTTCTGTCCGAGGAGATGCACAAACTCACCGACTATCAGGTCACGCTGCAGATCCCAGCCGCCAACCTCAGCGCCAACCGCAAGGTGAGAAACGTTCACTTAAAGCAGTAAGCCCCAAGAAGCCGTGGTTTATAACAGCTAAGGAGCGTTGTTAGGTACGACGCGAAGCGGAGTGACTAAAGCCCCCTTAGCTGTTATATAGACAGCAGATGCACAAATATAAATATAAACTAGATCAGCATACAAGCTGAACAGACGTGAAATGCAGAAAATAGAAAGAGAACAAGAGCATTTTATTCAATTTTTGTTTATGTGCTTTTTATTTATTTATTTACTCATGTGTTTACTTATGTATTTATCTGTACTCATTCTTGTTTATTTATTTATTTATTCATTTCATTTGTTGGTTTGTATTGTTTATTTATTTCATTTGTTTCTGTTCAATTATTTGCTCATTTATTTATTCATTCATTCATTTGCTTATCAATCTATATTTATTACATATCTGTTTTTATTCATGTGCTATTTATTTATCTATTTATTCATTTACTCGTGTGTTTCCTTATCTATTTATCTGTACTTATTCCTGTTTATTCATTCATTTATTATTTATTTATTTCTCATTTGTTTGTGTTCAATTATTTGCTCATTTATTTATTTACTTATTCATTAATTTGTCATACTTATCAATGTATATTTATTACATCTATATTGTTTATTTATTCATTTACTCAATTATTTATTTACATTTTTAATTTATTCATTAGTTCATTTATTTGTTTGTTTACTCATTTACCTGTTTATTCATTTACTTCTTTATGATTTATTTATTTATTCTTTCATATATTTATTTATTGGCTCTTTTATATATTCATTAATTTACTTGATGACTTATTTAAATATTTATTCATTTGTTTATTTATTTATTTTTTTAATCATTATTTATTTATTTGCTCATTTCTTTATCTATTTACATTTCTTTCATTATTTGTTGTATTGTTTTAGTTATTTATTTTATTTATTTATTTATTTACATTTTTTACTTGTTTATCTATTTATTCCTTTGTTCATTTATTCATTATACATTATTTACTCATTTATATTTTTCGTTTATTCATTCGTTCGTTTGTTTATTTGCTCATTTATTGTTTACTTATTTATTTATTCATTCAATTAATTATTTATTCAAATGAACAGGAGTTATATTAAGTGCTTTCGTTTATGGTTGTGCATTAGCTGTGTCTTCACTAAATACGTAGTTGGCTAACAGTGAAAGCAGTCTAGTTATTTTAAACCAAATTTATAATGCTTTTATCATCATTATGCATGCAGGTTTATGACTTCACATTAATGGAACGACAACATGAATTCAAAATGGTGAAAAACTGTTTGAAAAATATACATTTACATTCATGCATTAGGCAGATACTTTAATCCAAAGCAACTTACATTGTGTTTATACATTTATCAGTTCATGCATTACTTGTTAGCTTCATGCATTGCTTGTTAGAAAGCAAACCTTAAGTGAAGTTGATAGTTGCTGTATTTTGTTTCCTCTGTAATTATTTTAATCACAGCGTGGCGCAATAGTCAGTGAACCGGCGATCCAGGTGCGACGTAAAGGGAAGGGAACGCAGGTGTGGACCATCGAGAAACTAGAGAACAAACTAGTGGACATGAGAGACCATTACAGAGACTGGAGAGAAGCAGCACAGGAGGTGGTGAGTGAAAGAAATCCACGCTTTTATTCATCGAGGATGCATTGAATTGATCAGAAGTGACAGTGAAGACATTTAGAATCTTACAAAAGATTTCTGTTCCAAATAAATGCTGTTCTTTTGAACTTTCTGTTCATCTGTGAATCCTGAAAAATAAAATGCATCACAGTTTCCATAAAAATATTGTGCAGCACGACTGTTTTCAACATTGATAATAATCAGAAATGTTTCTCGAGCAGCACATCAGCATATTATACTGATTTCTGAAGATCATGTGACACTGAAGACTGGAGTAATGATGCTGAAAATACAGCTGCGCATCACAGAAATACATTACAGTTTAACAGATACTCACATAGAAAACAGCTATTCTAAATTATAATAATATTTCACAATTTTACAGTTTTTTTCTGTATTTTTGTTCAAATAAATGCAGCCTTGGTGAGCAAAAGAGAGACTTCAAAAACATCTTACTGTCCCCAAACTTTTGAAAGTTTTTAGTGTAAAAAGCACTTTTTGCAGGGTTTCTGCGGGTCTAAAAAGGTCTTGATTCTCCCTTCCACAAAATAAGGACTTAAAAAGGTCTTAAATCAGAGCAGAAAGTCTTGAATTCATGAAGTCACAACATTAAATGTTGCGTGCACTGCAAAAAATAAAATAAAAAATGAATATCTTACTCAGTATTTTTGTCTTGTTTTCCAGCACAAATATGTAAACATCCTTAAATCAAGACACATTTACTTGAGATGCAAAATGAGGAGACATTTCCAAAATGAAGTGAGTTTATGCTTAAAACAAGAACAGTTATCTGCCAGTGGGAAAATCAAACTCGTTTTCTCTTTGAAAAGGTTATTTTTCTGACCCTATTAAAAGATGTTTGTTCTTGTTTTAATCATAAGCGCGTTTAATTTTGATGAATTTCTTCATGTCCCCTTCCACTTTAAATTTTCTTTACTTGTCTTAAAAAGTTAGTTTTTGTTTGATTTGACAGACACTTTTAATCAAAGCAACGTACAAATGAGGATCATTACATTTTTATTTATTTATTGTTTACTTATTTTTTGTTTATTTATTTACTCTTTTATTTATTTATGTTTAATTATTTACTCATTCACCTGTTTATATTTATTTATTTACTTAGTCATTTGTTTCTTTATATGCTTATTTTTTATTTATTTATATATTTACTCTTTTTTTTTATTTATATGTTTAATTATTTACTCATTCACCTGTTTATATTTATTTATTTACTTAGTCATTTGTTTCTTTATATGCTTATTTTTTATTTATTTATATATTTACTAGGTTAGTTTTTGTTTGATTTGACAGACACTTTTAATCAAAGCAACGTACAAATGAGGATCATTACATTTTTATTTATTTATTGTTTACTTATTTTTTGTTTATTTATTTACTCTTTTATTTATTTATGTTTAATTATTTACTCATTCACCTGTTTATATTTATTTATTTACTTAGTCATTTGTTTCTTTATATGCTTATTTTTTATTTATTTATATATTTACTCTTTTTTTTTATTTATATGTTTAATTATTTACTCATTCACCCCTTTTATTGATTTATTTACTTATTTGTTTATTTATTTACTTATTTTTATTTACTCATTAATTTGTTTATTTATATGCTTGTTTTATTTATTTATATATTTACTAGTTTATTTATTTATATGTTTACTCTTTTATTTATTTATATGTTTATTTACTCATTCACCCGTTTATTTTTATTGATTTATTTAACCGTTTATTTACACATTTTTATTTACTCATTTGTTTGTTTATTTATATGCTTGTTTTATTTATTTATATATTTACTCTTTTATTTATTTATATGTTTACTCTTTTATTTATTTATATGTTTATTTACTCATTCACCCGTTTATTTTTATTGATTTATTTAGCCGTTTATTTACAAATTTTTATTTACTCATTTGTTTGTTTATTTATATACTAATTTTTATTTGTATATTTACTCATTTATTTATTTTCTAATTTAGTTATTTATTTAATCCTTTATTTATATTTTTGGTTAATTACTCACGTATTCACGCGTATATTTTTATTTATTTATTTTCTTATTTAGTTGTTTATTTACTTATTTACTTATGCATTTATTTATTTACATTAATTTATATATAAACATATATACTCATTTAGTTGTTTAGTTACAAATTGTTATTTACTCATTTGTTTATTTATATACTCATTTTTATTTGTTTAATTACTCCTTAATTTACATTTTTTGGTTATTTACTCACATATTCACTCGTATATTGTTATTTATTTAGTTGTTTATTCGCATTTATTTTTTATTTATTTATTTTCTTATTTAGTTGTTTATTTACTTATTTACATTAATTTATATATAAACATACATACTCATTAATTTAGTTGTTTTTAACTCATTTATTTATTTAGTTGTTTTCTCATTTATTGATTTTTTCTTATTTATTTGTTTAATTATTTTCTCTATTTTTCTGACCCTATCGGCCCACATTTGTTCTTGTTTTAATAGTAAACTCACTTCATTTTGATGAATTTCTTCTTCATTTATTCCTTAAATGATTGGTCTTAAAATGTACCTGCAGCAGCCCTGTTTAGTTTAGTTTGATTCGGCTGTTTTTCCCGCATGTCTCGCAGGTGAACCGGCTGCACAGTAAGGCGGGCGATCCGTTCTATGAAGCGCAGGAGAATCACAATCTCATCGGCGTGGCAAACGTCTTCCTGGAGAGTCTGTTTCATGACGTGAAGCTGCAGTACGCCGTTCCCATCATCAGCCAGCACGGGGAGGTGAGCGGACGTCTGTGTGGTGAGCTGGCTGTTAGAGGCGTTTCTCATCTGGTCTCGATCTCTGCTGGCAGGTGGCAGGTCGTCTGCAGGTGGAGCTGCTGCGGGTGAGCGGCGTCGTTCCCGAGCGTTTAGCCGGAGGAGACGATTCCTCCGAGAACTCCAGCCAGAGCAGCGGATACGAGGTCATGGACAACAACGGAGAGATCGTCCACATGGCCAGAAAACTTACCTGCAGGGTAAAGAGCTCATCACAACTCATCACTGCATCTGCTCTGAGTTTGAGACGTTTATAACCAGTGTTGGGCGGTAACTAGTAGTGTAACTAACTACTAATGAGATTTCAGTAATAATATTACTGTTACCATCCATAAAACAGCTTAGTTACTTTTGATGCCTCAACTAGAGGTCTACACGGAGGACCCGGGACCCGACCCAGGATCCGTACGGGTTCGGGGCTATATTTGAAATGGTCAGCCGGGTCCGGGTCGGGTCCCAATCTGTTACTTCGGGTCCCGGGTCTGTTCGGAGACTCGGAGAACACCCGGCCATTATCAGAGTCAGTCAGCGCTGTGCGTGTGTTGTTTTGTAACTTTCAACTTGTAAAATTAGGATGAGAAAAGTGTGAGTCGGTAATTTCTAATTTCTCGGTTCTGCACGGGCCCCGGGTCCAACTTTCAAAATAATAGACTGGTCCGGGTCGGTTCAGTTTTTGAACCGGTTCAGTACGAATTTTTGGACCCGTGTAGACCTCTAGCCTCAACCCCACTGATTTAAAATCCAACAATCAAATAATTCCTAGATTTATTTTGATAATTTTCACGACACGCACATGCATGTGATGTCCCCAGTGCAGCAGGCAAGCTTGGAATATGGAAAAGCTTACATTCAGCGGATGGAAATATTGCATTATATTGATTTTGTCAGGAAAAAAGATGAGCATGAGCACTTGTGTGTAAGTTGTGGCTGTACTTTACTCTGGCATCACATCCCACCCACATCCCTCTGATCAGCGTTATATTCATATAATTAAAAATAGCTTTGGAAATTTAAAGTTTCTTACAAACTTCGTATATGGGTAAGGGAGAAATGATAATTAGCTTCAAGCTACACGTGACAATTAATGAGATTAATACAACACTTGAATGTGTCTATCAATCACTAGAAGTTTATCTGGAAGATACACAGTTACAACTTCTGTGGGGCGTGAAGAAAAAGTAATGTAACTAGTAGTGTAACTAATTACTGTTGCAGGAAAGTAACAAGTAACAATATTACTTTTGAAATTAGTAGCTAGTAATGAGTAATATATTACATTATTTGAGTAACTAGCCCAACACTGCTTATAACATGCATTTGAGAACAATAATTATTATTATATTATTTTTCTGAAATAATTTAATAAATTTTCTTAATTTATAAAATATTACAATGGCAATATTTCTTATTTTGTTTAATGCATTTATTTAATATATGTATAATTAATAATCATTTGTTATTTATATATATATTTATTAATTTATATATTAATTCATAATTAAGAATATTTTATGTAATATTTTAATTGATTGATTGATTTATTTTTGTTTTATTATATATGCAGCCCTACAAACAACTACAGCAAACCTGGAGGGTTTTATGATCACATTTTTTACTGTAAAATTGTTCTTAAATACAGAGATAGCAATATTTCTTATTTTGTTTTATGTTTTTTTTTATGTTTGTTATTGTTTATATATATATATATATACAGCAAACCTGTAGTTTTTTTTTAAATCACATTTTTAATCAGAAAAATCCTTTTATATTCACTAATCGTGTTTTTATGCCATGCAAATATAAACATTGGTGTTTTTTTGGGATAAATTAAACATTGTTAGTGCGAATAGTAAAGCATCAGTTAGACTGGATTGAAAGTGATAAATTAATCAGTGAAACAGTGAATTTATGAATGTTTAAATGAAAAATAATTATTTTTACACAATCAAATGATATGAGCATGCTTGTGGTAAAACAGTACACATCTGAGTGTGAAACAAGTGTTGTGTTTCGTGTCAGGTGCGGATCAGAGAGGCGTCTGGTCTTCCTCTCAACCTCTCCAACTTCGTCTTCTGTCAGTACACCTTCTGGGAACAATCAGAGCCCGCTGTGGCTCCGCCCATCGTCAGCCCGGACACGCCCCCCTCACAGACAGCCGACGCCCACTTCACTGTGCGCTTTGACCACTGCAGGGTAAAAACACTAACGTTTGTATTTTCATTTAAGTTTTAATAATTTAGTTTTAGTAATTTTAGTTTTTTATTAGTTTTTATTATATGTCTATATCGTTTTTATTCATTTTTATTTCAGTGTCAGGTTTAGTTATTATTAGTTAAAAAAAAATTTGATTTATTTTCAGTTCATGTTTATTTTATTTAAAGTAATGACTTTTTTATGGTTTTATTTAACATAAGCAACATAAATAATTCATCACAGAGCCAACAATATTCATAGTAAATATACAATGCCAGATTTATTAGAAAGATAGATTAGGAAATAAGACGGAGCAGAGGTGAAATGCAAAGAAGAGAACGTTTTTATTATATTTTATTTTATTTATGCAAACTGATGTTTCTTACTTTTCTTTTATTTATTTATTATTATTTAATCTTATCTTTGTTATTTATGTATTTATTTTGTTTATTTATGCAAATGTATTTCATTTATTACCTTTTATTTAATAAGTTATTATTATCATTATTTCTTTATTATTATTTAATATTTTTTTGTTACTTTTTATTAAATGTTTTGTTTATTTATGCAAATGTATTTATTTTATTAACATTTATTTCATAAGTTAATATTATCGTTGTTATTTCTTTATTATTATTTAATCTTTTTTTTGTTATTTATTTTTTATTATTTCTTTATTTTGTTTATTTATGCACATTTATTTATTTTATTACCTTTTATTTAATAAGTTATTATTATCGTTATTATTTCTTTATTATTTAATATTTCCTTTGTTACTTTTTATTAATTTATTTTGTTTATTTATGCAAATTTATTTATTTTATTAACATTTATTTCATAAGTTAATATTATCTTTATTATTATTTAATCTTTTCTTTGTTATTTATGTGTTATTATTTATTTATTTTGTTTATTTATGCAGATTTATTTTATTAACTTTTATTTAATAAGTTATTATTGTTATTTATTTATTATTATTTAACCTTTTCTTTGTTTTTTGTTTGTTTATTTATGCAAATTTATTTATTTTATTACCTTTTATTTAATAACTTATTAGTATTCTTATTATTTCTTTATTAATATTTAATCTTTTCTTTATGTATTTTGTTTATTTATGCAAATTTATTTATTTTATTACCTTTTATTTAATAACTTATTAGTATTCTTATTATTTCTTTATTAATATTTAATCTTTTCTTTATGTATTTTGTTTATTTATGCAAATTTATTTATTTTATTACCTTTTATTTAATACATTGTTATTATTGTTATTATTTATTTATTATTATTTAATATTTTATTTGTTATTTATTTAGTATTATTTATTTAGTTTATTTATGCAAATTTATTTAATTTATTAACTTTTATTTAATAAGTTATTATTATCATTATTTTTAATGTATATATATATATTTTTTTATTACAAGTGCTCCTAGTGATGTGATGAAACATCTGACACCAAGTCTTAAAGTTCAGTCTTCAGTAAATCTAATATTACACAGACATTGTGCACTACTTTTTTGACACGGACCAGTTCAGCACCACTCAGCAGCCACCCAGAACACTGTAGCATCAAGTGTTGTACAGTGAAGCAGCACTCAGATTGTCCTCAGGACGTGTAAAGCTCTGCTTTCTTTGCATTTATGTTGGCAGGATTTCGTGGTGCAGGTGACGGAGGAGTTTCTGGAGTTCATCTCAGACGGCGCTCTGGCCATCGAGGTCTGGGGTCACCGGTATGCGGGTAACGGCCGGTCCGTGTGGGAGCTGGACGCACTGCAGGCCAAGAGACGCACGCTCAGAGACAGGTGCGTTTACAGCCAGAGTCTGGTCTAAAATAACACTCGCCAGGCACCAAACGCCAGTTCAAATCAGCGTTGGTGAGTTCATGAAACAATGTTACTCGCCAGTTGGCTGGTAATGTTTTTACTAATTATTAAAATAATTAATATTTTATTATTATTATTATTATTAATAAATAATTTACACTTCAATAGTTTTATAGTGATATTTCTTTATTGTTTTAATTTTTATAATTTGATTAATAATAATTATAATAATAATAATAATTGCAATTAGATGTGTTTCCCTAATTTGTCCTGCCTGTGTTTTAATGAAATAATGCACATACAGTTATTATTATTATTATTTTATTTTAAATAATGAAAGTGCTTTTTCTAATATTTTTATTATTATTATTATTATATCAATTATAGTTGTTATTAAATACTTTACAGTTCAATAGTATTATAGTGATATTTCTTTATTAATTAAATTGTTATAATTTGATTAAATAATAATTTGTTCTGCCTATTTTTTTAATGAAGTAATGCACAGTTTAATTGCCGGTAAAAAAGTATTTATAGCTGGAAAAAAATTTCAATTAAAATAAGTAAATAATAATAATAATAATAATGATTATTATTATTATTATTATATAAATTACAATGATTAAATACTTCATAGTTCAGAAGTATTATAGTGATATTTCTTTATTGATTCAATTTTTATAATTTGATTAAATAATAATAGTAATAATAATGATAATAATTTTAAAAAATTGTTATTAGATGTGTTTCCCCATTATTTTGTTCTGCCTGTTTTTAATGAAATAATGCACATACAGTTTCATGATTGGTAAAAAATATTTATGGCTGGTGTATTCTCTCAAGTGAAAAATATATATATATTAATAATAATAATAATTGCTATTATTCTTATTATATAAATTACAGTTAATAAATACTTTTTTTCATGATTGGTAAAAGATATTTATGGCTGGTATATTTTCTCAAGTTAAAAAAAAAATATTATTAATAATAATAATAATAATTGTTATTATTATTATATAAATTACAATTATTATATACTTTTTTCATGATTGGTAGAAAATATTTACGGCTGGTAAATTTTCTCTAGTCACTGGCCATTGGCAGAAGTGGCGTAGTGTTAGTTTCCGTCATCTGGGTGTGTGTGTGACAGGTGGAGTGAAGTGTCACGTCAGATCGAGCTGTGGGTCTCCATACAGGAGCTGAACGAGCAGGGCGAGGATTCGTCCATAGAGCTTCATCCCAGCAGAGACGTCAGCACTGGAGGAGTGTTTCAGCTGCGCCAGGTGCGGCATGATGCAGACAAACTGACCAGAAGTCCTTTAGCATTTTATCATTTAAATCATTTCTGGAACATGATTAAAGTTGGGAGCGATGCGTGTGTGTGTGTGTGTGTGTGTGTGTGTGTGTTTGTCCAGGGTCACTCGCGGAGGCTGCAGGTGAGCGTCCGGCCGGTCCAGCACTCGGGGACGCTGCCGCTGCTGGTGGAGGCCGTCCTGTCCGTCTCCATCGGCTGCGTTTCCGCTCGATCCACCAAACTACAGAGACCTCTGGACAGCTATCAGGTCAGTGAGACTGACAAACACACAAGGCAGAGCTCAATAACTACAGCTAAACCATGAGAAAACCTTTTCATTACTTAAAGTGGCCCTATTATGCCATTTCTAAGGTTGCTAATATTGTTTTATGAGTCTCCTAAAACAGGTTTACATGCATGCAAGGTCAAAAAACACATTAGTTTTCTCAAAAAATTGATTTAATTTTACCTAATTCCTAAATGATTCGTAAACGGCTCGTGCGAAGCAGTTCAAAGATTGGTGACGTAGAACGTGGGCAGACATTATGCAAATGTGTTACTTCGTGACATAGAGCCGTAACAGAATAAGATTTGAATTCCTGACGACTCATTTAGGCGATTGCGAGCCGAACTCATTTTTTTTGATGGACAATAACTTTATTTATCGTGTACTGTCGGCTTCACAATTTTGCAGATAGTTTATGTTCACATACAGCTACATGACATACTGCATGAAAGGTAATATTCGAAAAGGCATAATAGGGGCACTTTAAAGTGATATAAACATTAACTGAAACGTCTCAGTTACCTATGTAACCCTCGTTCCCTGAAGGAGGGAACGGAGACATCACGTCGTTGACCGACGAATTGTGATCTCACTTAGAGAGACCAATCCACTTCGAGTGTAAACTAAACCAGCTGCCACTGATCACAGTATAAAAAGTATAAAAAGGCAGCCGGTGCAGTGCATACCAGGTTTTCGCTGAGGAGCCGAGCCGGTGACCTGGCCGCTCAGCGGTGGGACAGCAGCTGTGTCGACGGGACGTGACGTCTCCTTTCAGGGAACGAGGGTTACATACGTAACTGAGACGTTCCCTTTTCAGTTGGTCATTCTCGACATCACGTCGGTGACCGACGAATTGGGATCCCTAACAAAGCGCCATGGATGCTGCCCCTTCCAGTGTCCTGTGCGAGCCTCCTGCGCCCCTTTTTGGTGTAGGCCGGGGCTCGCAAGAAGAAGACCAGTCACCGTTGTCATAGCACTACCCACTCAGTGAGATTTGATAACACTGGGAAAATTTACCTGTACCACTTGGAACAGGAGCGTTGTGGAAGGTCCATCCTTCTCGAAGGAAGTTTTGGAAGCACTTACACATATGAACAACCGTTTAGGTGCATATGGAAGATTAGAGGTGATTATAACCCTCTTGGAAATGGCAGAAGTCTGCCGGGGAAACACGGGCTCTGAGGCTATACCATGGACTTTACACATATAGGATCCACTTAGGTCTCTACATTTGGAACCCAGCTCTCTACCGGTTCTCACGGATTCATCGAGTGAGGGCCTGGTGCCGGACATTCCGCCATGTCTGGTTGCCGAGGGGATGGAGGAGCTCGACAGGATCTACAGTACGGACACTCTGGAGCAGGTTTAGAAAGCCGACACTAAACCGGGGCCTCTCAGTGCCTCTACCCATTTGAGGTGAGAACACAGGAGGATAAAGGTTCCACACGAAAACTATAGAATCTAGCAAACGTGTTGGGGGTCGCCCAGCCCACAGCTCTACAAATATCTGTCATTGAGGCGCCACGAGCCAGCGCCCAGGAGGAAACAACACTTGTAGTAGAGTGAGCTCGCAACTTGAGCGGGCAGGGCACACCCTGTGCCTGATAAGCCAGGGTGATGGCATCCACTACCCAGTGGGCCATCCTCTACTTAGAGACGGCCTTCCCCTTCTGCTGGTCTCCGTAACAGACAAAGAGCTGGTCTGAGGTCTTAAAGCTTTGTGTCCGGTCGACGTACCATCTCAAGGCTTGGACGGGACAAAGTAAAGCTAGGGCTGGGTCTGCCTCCTCCGGGGGCAGCGCTTGCATGTTCACTACCTGATCCCTGAAGGGGGTAGTAGGAACCTTGGGCACATAGCCGGGCCAGGGCCTCAGGATTACCTGGGAGTCAGCCGGCCCAAACTCTAGGCACGAATCGTCGACTGAAATGCATGCAGGTCCCCACCCTCTTGATGGAGGCCAGTGCAAGCAGGAGCAGAGTTTTCATTGATAGAAACTTCTCCTCAACTGACTACAAAGGCCCAAATGGGCCCTGCTGTAGTGCATTGAACACTAGAGACAGGTCCCAAGAGGGTATAGAGGGGGCTTCTCGCCCCCCTAAGGAACCTGATGACCAGGTCATGCTTCCCTAACGATTTCCCTTCAACGGGGTCATGGTTAGCAGCAATCGCAATGACATAGACTTTAAGGGTGGAGGGAGACAACCTTCGCTCCAACCCTTGCTGCAAAAAGGAAAGGACGACCCTGATCGGGTATCTCCGGGGGTCTTCTCGGCGAGAAGAACACCACTCGATGAACAGGTTCCACTTCAAGGCGTAAGTGTGTCTTGTAGACAGTGCTCTTGCCAAAGTGGTGTCAACTACCTCCTGAGGTAGGTCACCTAGAACCTCCGCATCCCATCCAGGGACCAGACATGAAGTTTCCAGATGTCTGGATGTGGGTGCCACAGGGTGCCCCGTCTCTGAGTCAGTAGATCCTTCCTCAGAGGAATCTGCCAGGGAGGGGCTGTCATGAGGAGCATTAGTTCCGGGAACCAGGTCCGAGTGGGCCAATATGGCACCACAAGAAGGACCTGCTCCTCATCGTCCCTGACCTTGCACAGTGTCAGAGGAGGAGGTGGCGGCGAATTGCGACATGCGACGGGAGCATAGACCACCTTGTTGGTTGATGTACGCAACGGTCGCAGTGTTGTCCGTGTGGACCAGCACATGCTTGCCTCGTAAGCGCCCACTGAGACAGTTCAAGGCAAGGTGTACTGCTAACAACTCTAGACGGTTGATGTGCCAGTGCAGTTGGGCGCCCGTCCAGACCCCTGACACTGCGTGCCTGTTGTACATGGACCCCAGCAGTGGTGGAGGCATCCGTGTAAACCACAGCATGCCTGGAGACCTGTTCCAGGGGCACTCCTGCCTGGAGAAACGCAAGGTCTGACCACGTGGTGAAGGTTTGGTGGCAGGCCTTCCACCACCTGGTTCCAGGTGACTTGGACCCGATGAGTGTCGCGTAGCCACACCCACCTCGGGACTCGGCCATGGAGCCAGTGTTGAAGTGCTCTCATATGAAGCAGCCCCAGCGGCGTGACTGCTGCTGCAGATGCCATATGCCCCAGGAGCCTCTGAAACTGTTTCAGTGGGACCGTCCGTCCTGCTCTTGAACATATTCGGGCCTGGACATGCGGGCCAGCTCCATGGCGCCGCTTGCTCAAGGCTGCTACTAATGCGGCGCAGGACCACCCTTGTGCAGGTTCCTCAGTGCTTTAGTCTGAAGAACCTGCAGTAATGCCATAGCATGTAAGGCAGAGGCAGCTTAAAAGAAAAGCTTCTCCACAGGCCACATAAGCATCGCCAGACAGACCAGACGAGAACCTACAGACCCGGTAGGGGAGGCACGATTTGCCCTGCTGGGTGGAGGCAGGGAACTGCATCGCAATCAACCACTCCACCAGGGGGACCCCCGTATACCCCCTAGCTGCACCACCGTCGAGAGTGGTGAGGGAGGAGGAGCTAGCAGGTCGGTTTCCGGCAGAAAAAGGTGCCTTCCATGACCTAGAAAGCCCCCTAATGCACCTCCAGGAAGAATGGCACTGGGGCGGGGTGCTGAGAACCAGTGCGGGCCACCCTGAAGAACCATTAGTCCAACCTTGAGGGCTCGGGACATGGTGGAGATTTCCACTCAACCCCTACCCTCACGGTGGCCCGACAAACCCATCATTTCCGGATCTGATTCAGGCATTGCTACAATCCCAGAGGGCAGCAGTGCAGCCGAATCTTCCTCTCCAGAAAGCTCCGGCTCACCCTCCGATGCAGCGATCAACATCCGAACGTCGGGAGGAGTCCCGAAGGATACTGCTAGTATGCTCCTTGTCACCACCGTCGAGAGTGGTGAGGGAGGAGGAGCTAGCAGGTCGGTTTCCGGCAGAAAAAGGTGCCTTCCATGACCTAGAAAGCCCCCTAATGCACCTCCAGGAAGAATGGCACTGGGGCGGGGTGCTGAGAACCAGTGCGGGCCACCCTGAAGAACCATTAGTCCAACCTTGAGGGCTCGGGACATGGTGGAGATTTCCACTCAACCCCTACCCTCACGGTGGCCCGACAAACCCATCATTTCCGGATCTGATTCAGGCATTGCTACAATCCCAGAGGGCAGCAGTGCAGCCGAATCTTCCTCTCCAGAAAGCTCCGGCTCACCCTCCGATGCAGCGATCAACATCCGAACGTCGGGAGGAGTCCCGAAGGATACTGCTAGTATGCTCCTTGTAGAGGGCCCAACACGTTCCTTTGGCAGCTCAACTGGTTGTGGAGTGCAAGAGGAGCAATGGTCCCCTGCAGGGTTTGCCATCACTGTTACCCTCAGACCACCCGTGCTACTGCCTGAAGCCGATTATGATGAGAACTAGATCTAGGCAGAGGCAACAGAGCTCCGCCCCTTTTGAGGTAACGAAGCTTGGCCCGCAACTCCGAGATGGTCATCTTCCCGCAATGAGAACATGACTCATCCAAGAGCGTTTGTGACCATTATCCGACCCCAGGTAACAACCACATCCAGAAACGCACAGGTGATACGTTGTCTGTAGCAAGACGCAACGTCGTCTTTACAAAGACGCAATGTCGAGTTTGCCAGGCGCAACAGCGTCTTTAAAAAGACACACATGTGAATGCTCTTTTAGGGAAAAAGCTCTTTTAGTGTGCTGAAGCGCACAGGGGAGATGGCCGCCTGCAACACAAACAGGGGGTAGTGCAGCCTGATGTGTGCAACCCACTCGACATGAGAAACCACCACCGCTGAAGCGCTGTACCGCCAACACCAAGAGCTGCAAAGAGCACGATGAACTCGTTCAGTCTTCTTCACTCAGTAGAGTAGTCAGGAACAGAACGATGTGATCGCTCGGCTCCGAAGCGAAAAGCTGGTATGCGTTGCACTGGCTCACGCTGTGATCAGAGGTAGCTGGATGCAATCATCGCATACCAATGTGCATTGTCTCGTTTAGTTTACACTCAAAGGGGATTGGTCTCTCTAAAAGAGAAAACCCTAATTTGTCGGTCACCGATGTGACATTGAGAGTGACCGACTGAAAGTGATTCAGGGTTATTATAGCTAATTAAAACTAAAAACATTAGAAAAAGCACTTTCAATACTTAAAATAAAATAAACATTTAATGAAATCAGGGTTATTATAGCTAACTAAAATTAAAACCTTTTTTTTTTTTATTTGAAATAAAATAAATGTTAACTGGAAGAAAATGAAATATATACAAAACCTTACTTTTATTTTAATTAGTTCCCAAGGAAACATTTCTCATTTTCATTACGTTTAGCTTGATGTGCTAAGATAACTAAAACTAAAGCTGAAATAAAAAATAAAAACTAGATAGACATATTTTACAAAAATAAATAAAACTAATAAAAATGACAAAAAACATTTCTAAAACTTTAACTAAATCAAAATAGAAACAGAAGATATCAAAATAAAATGAATTAAAATTAGTAATAAAAACTACAACAGTATCATTGATACTAAAATAACACTGACTGAAATAAAATTAAATATATACAAAAACCTTACTTTTATTTTCATTAGTTCCCAAGGAAACATTTTCATTTAGTTTAGCTTGATGTGCTAAAATAACTAAAACTGAAATAAAAAAAAAAAAATAGATATTTAGATATAGACTTATTTAAAAAAAATTTTTTAAATAAAACTAATAAAAATTACAAAAACTCAAAACTTTACTAAAACGTCAACAAAAATCATAATAGAAAAAGAAGATATCAAAATAGAACAAATTAAAAGTATTAATAAAAACTACAACAGTATCATTGATACTAAAATAACACTGACTGAAATAAAATAAAATATAAACTTTTCATATAGTTCAAGTTGAAGTACTAAAATAAGTAAATAAAATAAAACATAATAAAAACTATATAGGCATAACAAACATGAAAAACAAACTAACAAAATGACAAAAACACTCAATAAAATTACTAAAACCTGAACTCAAATTATAAAATATAACAATAAAATCTAATCCAAAATGTTAACAAAAACTATAATAGTATCTCAGTGATAGTAAAAACACTCTGATCTGCATAATCCTTCCCTGAAATGTTTATTATTATTATTATATTTACAGAAGTACAACAAATATCACTTGGTGTCCACATAACTTAAAATATCTTAAAATAAAAATAAAAATGCAAAAGAGAGAGAGAGAGGGAAAAGAGAAAAGAAAGAATAAAGAAAAATTACATAAAAAATTAATTAACATGAATGATCAAGGTATAATTAATGTATAAATATTAGTGCCCTAAAATGATTAATCACGATTAATTGCATCCAAAATAAAAGTTTTTGTTTACATAATATATGTGTGTGTACTGTGTATATTTATTATGTATATATAAATACACACACATGCATGTATATATTTAAGAAAAATATGTTTTTCATATATATATATATATATATATATAAAATATTTATATTTATATATAATATAAATTATATATTAATATAAATATATATACATGTAAATATCTTTTTAAATATATACATGTATGTTTGTGTATTTATATATACATAATAAATATACACAGTACACACACACATATATTGTGTTAAAAAATCTTTTATTTTGGATGCAATTAATCGTGATTAATCGTTTGACAGTACTAAAAATATTTAATAAAAATGTATATATTTATTTAATTTAAAGTACATTAAATTTTCATGGTTCAGTATATATTTTAATTTTTTTAGTAATGAAGTTCAGCACTGTTTTACTTGGAGTGTTATGTTTGTTTTCATAAATTATCGGTTAAATAATCGGTTTATCGGTGTGGTCCAACCTAGTTCTGGTTATCGGTAAAATCTGCGAGCGTTCAAAGTGTGAATGTGAGTCGGTCAGCAGATCTGTGCGAGTGTGTGACAGACTGTATTTTCTCCAGCAGAGGGAGGAAGACACCGATATGGATAGTTATCAGGTACTCTGACTTCTGCTGTTGCTGCTGATCATGTGCTTCAGACAGGGAGCGTCCATCATAATCGGCCATTAATGAGCCTCATATTATAATCTCGCTGAATTGAATGTGAGAAATTAGAGATTCCTGCACTAACACACGGCTGTCTTCACTCGGTCACATGATCAGTGCATGGCTGCATGATTCCTGCATGTTTACGTGCATTTGATGGAGCCGCGTACAGTATGACCGCTTCATCTGTGTGAAAACAGCACAGTGGATTTAATCTGCCTTTATTACTTCATGCATTTATTTGTTTATTCTGGTGTTGTGTAAGTATTGAATTTTGATGCTTGGTTCCTAAATCTGCACCTGACACCGTGTCTACACTGGATTACACTGAAATCATTGATCTTATTATTGGCATAATGCAGAATGTAATGCATAGATAGAGTTAAAAGCAAAGGATGATTTAAATGAGACCAGAAAACAGAAATATTTTGAGCTGACCTTGATTGAATGCTCAGATGTTACTGAAATACTCAGTGAATAAAAATCAAATTAATATAGTAAAATAAAGAAGCGAAATGAAGCTTTGTTTTGTTTTGCTTTTTTGAAAAAATAATTATCACTTGGTTTCTACACATATTAAAAAAGTTTAAATAGAAATGTAAATTAAGTCAAATAAATAAATAACCAGAAAGGAAAAAGATCAAACAGAAATCAAGAAAAAATTTAATTGTAAAGTGACATTAACAACAATTTCATACAATTTATAGCATATTATTTTTTAAACACAACTTTTTTAATTAAATTAATTTATTCCATTATTTTTCAAACGATCATGTCATTAGATTGGTTTTGTGATCCTTTCTTTTCTTGTGACTAGTGAGAATTCAGACAGATGATTGTCCTTTTTAAGCTAAATAACAAATCTTTTGAAATATATTGAATATCATTAAAAGGCTAAAACATAGAACATGTTAAAAATGAAAGAGTTTCATATGAAACTCATTTTGAACACGTTCTATATTATTATATAATTTAAAATATTTTAATATATTCTGTTATTCTGTATGTTCTATATTATTCTAAAATTATATTATTAAACTTTTTTAATGTATATTTTTCATGATATTCAATATTTATCTAAAATAATCATTATATATATATATATATACACATAGTTTATATTGGTCTATATTTTTCATGATATTCGATATATATCTCAGTCTTTATATAATCAAGCATAAAAAGGGAGATCATCTGTCTGAACACTTACTAGTCACAAGAAAATGCCTAATTTTCTAAAAGCGTATATAGATGTTACTGACAAGAAGTAACAGATTTGTTACTGAAAAACTCAAAATAATATCAAACTAAATGTGCACAAATTTATGATACTATAGTATTATGCAATGTTTATCATTAAATTAAATACAATATTAATAAAAGTAATATTTTGTGCTACATTTATTTGACTTAAGTTATTATTATTAAGAATTATTTAACTAAAGTACTCTTAAGAAATCCAGGATATTCTCATTAGATTCACTTTACTGTAAAAGTCTTTTTTTTTTTGTAAAAACATATGATAATAATAAATTAAGATAAAATTGAAAATAAAAGTAAAAAATAGTATAGTACTATGTAATATTTTAACATATAAGTTATATTAAATTAAATACAATATTAATAAAAGTAATATTTTGTGCTACATTTATTTGACTTAAGTTCTTCTTTTTCTTCTTCTTCTTCTTATTATTATTAAGATTTATTTAACTAAAGTACTCTAAGAAATTCGGACAGTCTCATTAGATTCTCTTTACTGTAAAAGTCTTTTTTTTTGTCAAAATAAAAATATTAATCTTAAATACAGTAAAATAAAAGTAAAAATACTTTAACACTAATATTTAACATTTTAAACCATTTAATTAAATACATTTTATTTAAGTGAAAACATATGATAATAAATTAAGAAAAGAAAAAGAAAAGTTGAAAAATATTATACAGTATTTAAAATGTTAAATCATATTAGATTAAATACAGTATTAATAAAATCAATATTTTCTGCTACATTCTCATTAGATTCACTTTACTGTAAAAGTCTTTTTATAAAAAATAGAAAACAATATTAAAATAAAATGTAAAAAAAATACAAGACTAACATTAATATTTAAAAATGTAAATCATATTAGATTAAATACAATATTAATAAAATGTATATTCTCTGCTACATTTATTTAACTTAAGTATTAAGACGTATTTAACTAAAGTACTCTAAGAAATTCAGAAATTCTCATTAGATTCACTTTACTGAATAGGTATTTATTTTTATAAAAATTAAATAAAATGATTTAAAAAAATGGCTATGTAATATATTTTAAAATGTAAATCATTAAATTAAAGGAAATGCAAAATTAATACAATCAATATTTTATTTGCTAATTCATTACATTAATACACAAGTGTTTTTAAAGTACTCTAAGCGTTTTCCACCATTAAATTGTAAACCGATGTTCTTAAATGTAATTTTCAACCTGCACATGACAAGACGTCGAATAACATGAATTAAACAGTATCTTGCAGTACTATTCAAAGTCAATGAAAAATGCTGTTCACAACCCATTTTCCTTCAATAATGGTGAGTGAAGCAGGCTTGGATTCTGAAAGATATGTTGCTTAACTTACAAGCATGAAAGGAAAACCTATTATCGGAACAGTTTTGGAGGAAAAGTGTTCACATCAGTGTTGTTGTTGCTCAAGGGTTCCCCCTGCTGGCATGGAGGCTCATATTCCTGTGCTGTTCCTGGATCTGAATGGTGAGATATATTGATCTTCAGGGTTCAAGGGCTGAAGGTTTTTCTGGTTTGCGTGATCCTGTCAGATCAGTCATTCAGGCTTGTTTGCGTGTGACGGTTATTTTATCTGTAATGCGTGTTTTGCAGCTGATAACCTGACGGTGAACGATCAGCTGACCGGTCCTCACGCCGCCGGTGTTAACTCAATCCTCCCCAAAGAGCACGGGAGCCCGTTCTTCTACCTGCCCATCATCAGACACAGCCATGACGAGGTGAGAGGAATTAAGCCTGTTAAATGACAGTGACATGTGTCTTCTACATGAATCATATTAATAACCTCAGAGCTCATGGTCGGTCTGATTTGAAAGGTTTATATGTTAAGATTTCTCATACGTAAATTACCCAATGTGAATAATGAAAATTTGCCCCCCAAAAAAAGGAAGATGTCAGGATGATGGCTTAAAATGCAATTATCGGCATCGGCCTGATATGAAAAATTATGCCGATATGTGTTGCCGATAATACTAATAACTTCCGGTGTGCAAAAGAATCAGCAGCAGCCGTTCAGTAAGGCGTTTTATTTACCTAGGGGTCGCTGTTGGCCTACTTGTAATAAAATGAAAGCAAAATACACACAAATATCATTAAGATTGTGCTTCTGATTAAATAAAGCAGTAATTGATGTCATAAAATCACGAGTATGGTTTGATTTAAAGGTCAGAAGCTATAGCTTACATTAATAAAAATCACAAACATAACACTTGTAAATAAAATAAAAAAATTACATGTACAGATTAATTCATTAATGTGTAATGTTTTTTTTCCAAACGGATTATAATTTACCACTGCATCCGTCTGAAAAAAAAGTAGCGATAGGTTTATAGATGATTTATAGTTATTTTCAAAGCTTTCAATGTACTCTCATTATAAAAGAACTTCAATATTGTTTATTTAATTCTAACAAGTAAGTTTTTTTTTAAACCAAACCAAAATTAAAAGTAATTTGTTTATAATCTCTGCACAGGAGAGACTTGGTGTTGTTTCCAGACAAAAGGAAATATATCGGTATTGTCTGTCGGCCAAAATAAGTTGAAAAACATCGGCATATCGGATATCGGCAAAATCCAATATCATGCATCCCTACTTTGAAAAATTATTCATGATGGTACTAAAATAATTGTTTGTGTATTGTTTATAATATTACATATATATACCATTGTTTATTATTGTTATATTATATATTATATAGTTTGTTTGTTTTTTTGGACAAAAAAAAATATAGTAATGCTAATGTAATAAAATTAACCAGTGAGAATAATGAAAATTACAAAACAAAACAAAAAAAACTCAAAGAATATGTCTGGATGCATTACATTCATCAAAGTTTGGGATTTTGGGATGTTAAATTGTCTTGAAAATAAAGTTTTATTGAAAAAAATTTGCAATGGACCTAAAGTAAGCTGAATTTGCTTTATACAAATCTTCTTGCTCTTCTTATTTTATTTATTTATTTATTGACAAAAAAATTATGTATTAAAATTAATATGAATTATGTCTCGTAGCGTTCATATGTGATGATTTCTCTTGCTCTCAGGTGTCGGCTGTGTGTTCCTGGGATTCGTCCATCCACGACTCCATCCATCTGAACCGGATCACGGCACCCAGCGAGCGGATCTACCTGATCGTGAAAGCCACGGTTCAGCTCAGTCACCCGGCGTCTGTGGAGCTGGTGCTGCGCAAGAGGATCGCCGTCAACATCTACAACAAACAGGTCTGCAAACACAGGGAGGCAACGTGATTCATCTTAATGACTTTATTAAAACTCAAAAATCAAGATTCTTTTTGATTGTTCTTGTTAATTATTTTATTAATTTTTTTATTTATTTTATATATGTATATATATATATATATATATAATTTTTTTTAATGTGACCTGAAGATTTTACCACCCTCTTCAGTTTTGGCATATTGATTTATGAGTTTTTGTTGAAGTTTATTGAGCTGTGATGAGATGTATGATTGGCGTGTACATGTTATTAATGTAAATTCATGACTGATGTCTGGTAGAGTTTTACTCAGAGCCTGAAGAGACGGATGTCTTTGAAGAACGTTCTGTACTCCTGTGGAGTGACGTATGAGATCGTGTCCAACATACCAAAGGTACAAACTTCACACTGTTTCCTCTTCATGTTTGTCTGTCTGAATGCACTGATCACACACATGCTGTCTTCATGAACAGGCATCTGAGGAGCCGGAGGAACGCGAGACTCTGGCCTTGATGGCGGCGCGAGGAGAGAGTGAGGAGACGCTCGATGGAGAGACGTATATAGAGAAATACACCAGAGGAGTGCTGGAGGTGGACAATATTCTGTGTCTGGAGAGACTCCGGCAGGTTCGGCTTCATTTTAGGACAGATTTCTCTCACTATCTGCTGTTTCTGCTGGAGTGTTTAGTAGAGATCAACCAATATTGATTTTTTGTAATGATACCGATATCGATTATTTGCATGTTTTATGCCAATAACCAATATGCAGAACCAATATTTATTTATTGTTTCACTTTTATCTGCTGTTTCTGCTGGAGAGTTTAGTAGAGGTCTACCGATATAGATTATTTTTATAACCGATACAAATTATTTGCATGTTAATGGGCCGATAACCGATATGTAAAACCAATACTAATTTATTGTTTTACTTCTATCTGCTGTTTCTGCTGTAGTGTTTAGTAGAGATCGACTGATATTGTTGTTGTTGTTTTTTATAACCGATACTGATTATTTGCATGCTTATGGGCCTATAACCGATTTGCAGAACCAATATTTAGTTATTGTTTCACTTTTATCTGCTGTTTCTGCTGGAGAGTTTAGTAGAGGTCTACCGATATTTATTTTTTATTTTTATAACCGATACAAATTATTTGCATGTTTATGTGGCGATAACCGATATGTAGAACCAATATTTATTTATTGTTTTGTTGTATCTGCTGTTTCTGCTGGAGTGTTTAGAAGAGATTGACCAATATTGATATAATTTTTTCTAACCGATAATGATTACTTTATCTGAAATCTTTTCCTTAAATCTCAAAACGACCACAAGATGGCAGCATTTATCGGTGGATCCAATATTACAAAACCAATATCCGATTATGAAAAAATGCTTAGATATCAGGAAACAATATCAGTCAAACCGATTATCGGTTGATCTCTAGAGTTTAGTGTGTATTTGTGGGTTCATTCAGGCCGTGACGGTGAAGGAAGCTCTCTCCGCTAAAGGCAGACACATACGGCGCAGTCTCAGCACGCCCAATGTCCAGCACGTAAGACCAGATCTACTATTGACTTGTGTATAGAAACAAAAGACTGTCCATTGTGTAACAGAACAGTAATATATATTTGTTTAGAGCTCTTGTTGTAAACCGGACGGGACCGGATGTGAGGATGAGGACGTAAAGGTTAGTGAACACTACAGACGGTGTGTTTGTTGTGAATGTCTTTGTCTGAGCGTTGACTTTATTTCCACAGACTCACTGTGACGGTCCAATGGATGTCATAGAATCCAACGTACATGAAGCTTCACTCAACAGTCCTCTCGCAAAAGACACGCCTGTCAAAAACAAAGAGAATCAGGGTAAATTAATGATGGTGAACTTATCTTTCTGCTGGGAGGATTTGAAAGACAAAGATGTTTTTTTTAAAGCAAGCATTCTAAAAAAAAAGAACATTACTGTAGTTAAAACAATATTAAAGATTATAACTAAACAATTTAATTAAAATAATAATAATAATGTTGTTGTAAAAAATTCAACACTTCTAAATAAAAAAATGCAATAATTTGTAATAATTAAAAAAAAGTTCTTGTTAGTAGTAAATAGTACTAAAACTTTTCAAGACTTAAAAATAAAAGAAAATAGTGAATATATATATATATATATTATAGATATTAGTAGTAAATGGTACATGTAACTTTTCAATACTTCTAAAAAATTTTATAAAAATAAATATTTATAATTAAAAATAGTTATTTATATATGAATAAATACAGACCTTTTCAGTTGTTGTTTATAGCGCCTTTAAATATCTGTATGCATCATTGCATGCAAACGTTATCCTCAGGATCGGTACCAGAGAGTCCAACGTTCTTCAACTCCAGTCCATTTAAGGTTCTGTCTCCTCAACCGCCCAAGTTCCTCAAATCTCTCTTGCCAGTGAAGGAGGAGAACAAAGTCAAGCGTTCTCTGGAGTCACGGCCTCTGCTGGGACAGGAGGTGATACACTCACAAACACACACACACACACACACACACAGAGACACTCACAGAGACTCTCCCTCCCTCTCACACACACACACACACACTCACTCACTCACTCACTCACTCACTCACTCACTCACTCACTCACTCACTCACTCACTCACTCACTCACTCACTCACTCACTCACTCACTCACTCACTCACTCACTCACTCACACACACACACACACAAACTCTCCCTCCCTCCCTCACACACACACAAACACACTCACTCACACACACACACACACACTCACACAGAGACACTCACAGACTCTCCCACACACACATATACACTCAATGCTTCGTTCCCATTATGTGTCTCATATACCATTCATATTGTGTTTCCACCTTCCATATTCTCACATATTTTATGATCTGACAATGATTCAGGCTCTGATCCCTGTCTTAAAGTGTTGCTAAATGTCTCTCAGTCCACAGAGAAGCTGTCTTTCAGCCAGGGTCCAAAATGAACACTAAATTAAGATCCAAATGCAAGTGAAAATCACCAATTGGCTGGTAATTTCATTAGGATCTCTATGATGATCCTGATGATGCTTTGTAAGAATCCTCATCTGAATCTCACTAGTGACATTAATTCAGTTTAAATCAAAGACATATAAAACTGAACCACCCAAATGTAAATATATAACAAAATATATAACAAAAATATATTATTCAAATTTTTAAAAAAGCACTAAATTATTTTCAGTGAGGAATATTCATTGTTTGTGAACTTTTTTCTTTTTGCTTGTAAATTCTCCCCATATTAGTTCATTTTGGACCCTGTTCCCAGCATGCATCAGTCCCTCAAGCCTGTTCATTTATACAGCCACAGATTTATTCAGACTGACCTCTACATGATGCTGAACCTGTTAACCGGACGTATGAGTTTAAAGGAATAGTTAACTAAAAAAAAGTGAATTCACTTTATTTAAAATTTTGATTACATTTTGATTTAATAAGTCTAAAATGTTATATAGCCATTATATAAAAAGTAATAAAATATTCCTTATACCTTAAATACATGTGGGTTTTCATGTTTTAATTACATTATTATTTACAGAGAAGTTAAGAATATTTAAATAAAACGAAACAATTTTATTTATATATATATATATAGGCATTTTATTTTATAAATAATAATACATGATTTTTGCATCATTTTCACATAATAATTGCAATCATTTATATACTATTATAGTTAAATACTTTTAAACAACATTTTAATGTTTTTATATTATCAGTTTTCATTATAATTTTAGTTTAGTTAGATTTTTTTTATATATATAACTATATTTAGGTTTCATTTATTTTTAGTTTTAGTTTTATTTCCATTTTGTCATTTTAATAATAGTTTTAGTTTTAATGAATGATAATAACCCTAAAAATAAAATTATTTAGTCAAACAATTATATTAGATTACATTAAAAATTTTAATGATATATACTACTGTTTTGACACTTTTCTGTAATTTTTGTCAAGGTTATTATCCTTCATTAAAACTAAAACTATTATTCAAACTTTAAAAAAAAAAAATATATATATATATATATAAATATTAGCTGAAAAACTTATTCAGTTAGATACATAGGCAATGTTTCTAATTTCCATTTTTGAAGAATTAAAATTACTACCTGGAAATAAATAAAAACGACTAAAAATAAATTAAACACAAATATAAATATTTATTTTTAAAAAACGAATAAAAATGATAACAGCACATAAAAATATTACTAAAATGAAACAAAAAATTAAGCTAAAATTAAAATGAAAACAGAAAATGTAAAAACAAAAGCTAATTCAAAGTATTATTTAAAAAGTATACTTTGTAGCATTGTATGTAAAAGAGCAGCTCTGATGCTGTACAAAACATCAAATTTTGTGTTCAGTGAAGAAAGAAGAAAATAATACGAGGAATGTCAGAACAACATGAACATGGGTTTTTGTGCTAACTATTCCTTTAAAAGCACTGAATCTGTGGCTGTGTGCATGTGCGCTCACCTGTTGGCTGTGCTGCATGGCTCGTGTGAAGTGTGCTGTTGTGCCCTGATTGCAGAGCATGCGTTGGTTTGTGGACCCCGGCGGACCCTGGTCCAGACCCAGGGCTCAGAGCGAGGGCCGTGGCACCAGTGACATCATCAGCAGCTCAGCCAATCACAAACAGCCCAGACTGAGCACTGATCTCACTCACACGCGGCCGCACGCTGCTGTAAGTCAACACATGCATGTGGCATACTAGTTAGTACTACTAGGAAGGGCCCCCTTGAAACTGTCGATTACCACAGAAAATAATTTTTAACCTGTCCATTATGTTGTATATTTATTTTATAATATACCTTTTTAATTTTAAAAATGTTATTTAATTTTAAATCTAAAAAAATTGCATAACAGTAAAAAGTAATAAAATATTTTCCTTACACCTTGAATATATGTGGGTTTTCATATCTTAATCATTATTTACAGAGAAATTGTTCAGCATATTTTAATTAAAACTATAGTATTTTAAATAATTATTATACTTTATATAATATATTTTATATAAAGTTTTATATATATGTATTTTTTTTACATTAATATTTAACATTAAACATTAATATTAATAAAAGATACTGCAAATTAGTTTTTCAAGAACAAGGAATTTTAATAATGTTTATATATATATATAATTTTAAAATTTGTAAAACATATGAATATATAATACTATTATAAAACATATATAAATAATAATAAAACATACTACAAAATACCTTTTTAAAGAACTTCAAAGAATTAAAAAAAAATAATAAAATTGAGAATTTTTGCATTATTATTGCAGTTATTGACAAGTAACTGACAGCATCCCACTTGAATTCCTTGGTATTAGCTTGAAAATAACTAAAAATATTTCTTCTCATAACCAAATTCATTACATTCATGTACAAACAATTGCATAAATTTATGCATTGCATCCCTTTTAAAACTGATGATGCTGCCCCATCATCGTCATCATCATCTCAGCACCATTTGCATCTCATTGTATCCCATCACCCTCATGTGAATGATAAGTAACTGCATGAATCCCTCAGCTTGTGTTTAACTCACTACTGCAGCACTTCACATATCACACTGCTAGTTACAAAGCAAATTAATTATCACTACTTTTATATTCAGTTGAGTTGTCTGCACTGGAAGCACCCAATATGATACACTTTCAGCTGACGAATCTGCTGTGTGTATTTTTGATGCACTGTGAAGCTAATCCAGCCACTATGTTCCCTATATTTCTGAAATAAAATTATTTTACTTACACATGTGTCATATGTGTTAAGTGATTGCTATGAATTCATTTGATTATATTATCTAACTTTAAATTCATTTGTTTATTTAATTTTTGAAATTATTTAAATTTTAAATATTTCTAACATAATATATATACAGTATATATATATATATATATATATACACACACACACACACAGAAGAGCCATTACATTATGACCACCTATCTAATAATCTGTAGGACCTCCTTTAGCCCACAAAACAGCAGCAATGCATCAAGGCAATGATTCGATGAGGTGGCCATAGGTCTCCTCGGGTATCTGGTACCATAATGTCAACAGCATGTCCAGTTCCAGTACATTGTGTGGTGGTGATGTAGCATGAACCCGCTTTTTGATTGGGTTCATGTCAGGTGAATTTGGAATCAAGGCATTAACAGAAATTCACCATCATGTTCCTCGAACCACTCCTTGACGATTCTGGCAGTGTGGCATGGTGCATTATCCTGCTGGTAAAGGGGCCTAAAGTGTCCCAAGAAAACATGACCCACAGCATAACCGGCCTGTGTTCACCCAACAGTGCATCCAGGTGCCATAGCCCCTGTTGATAATCGGTGAGTCTGCGATCGGCCGTCAACATGATGCACCAGGAATCTTGATTCATCAGACCAAGCCACTTTCTTCCAATTATCCATGGTCCAATCTCGATGGTCCATTTCATGCTTTGTTGGCGATGGCGTGCAGTTAGCATGGGGATCAGGCCAGGTGGTCGGCTACACAGGCCCATACGCAGAAGGCTGAATGTCGTTTTTTCAGATCGAAGTTCTGAGGCGCTGTGCCATCACAATTTGTTTGTTATCAAACACCAGTAAATTGGCCGCTTTTCTCATTCTGACACCAAACACTCTACTGACCGAAAGCCAGTACTCGGGTGGTATATATACTGCTCTGTGAACCGCATCTGTGGCACCATTCAGTTGCCAGTTGTGGTCATTGCTCTAGGCTGGGGGTGGTCGTAATGTAATGGCTCATCGCTGTGTGTGTGTGTGTATAAAATATTTTAAAATCTAAATTCTTAGATGACATATTGCTTCAATGCTTCCAGTGTAGACGACTGAAATGATTCAACACTGGATGTATCCAGTATCGATCCCCTGTTGTAGACAAAAAGACAGAATACAGTAGCAGATGTGTTTCAGGATTTCTTTACAAGGGGGCGGTAGAGTCCCTCCTGATCACTGCTTTGCTATTTGTTTCCTGTTTGGTCATTGATGATTTATCAGGATTCAGAGGAGGAGGATCCTGACATGGATTCAGCCTTCACCCGTTCCAACGATCCAGGCCTCGGGTCTCTGGAGCTCCAAAACTTCAAGCCTTACATCCCAGAGGATTTTGCCAACTTTGAGGTGTACAATGCCAGCCTTGAGACCCAAGATGGGGCCATATGTGTGCAGGGAGAGATGGTGCTGGGGATCGGAGAGTTGACAGGGACACGGGCTGTGGAAAAAGAAGTGTCCCGTAGTCCCACGGCCAGCTCATGCACGAGCGGCTACTTCTCCCATAGTGCCTCGAACGCCACGCTGTCTGACGTGCTCCTCAGCGGTAGCGATAGTTGTGACCAGCTCAACAGCAGAGAACCTGCAGACCATCAGGAAGCACTGCACGGAAGAGGGTTGCATCCTTCCAGAAGTGCCTTGGGATCTTGTCCAGCCCAGACCATTCCCACTCAGCTCTGTTCCCATCACTGCACTGACCGGGACTGTTCCCCTCGGCTTCCCCGCAAATGTATCCTGAGCGTCAGTCAAGAATTCACAGACTTTAAGGGTGCAGATGATGGTGTAGGGAAAGAAGACCTTGGTAACATCGGATGGAAGGCGGAATCGATTCCCCCAAACTTTAAGGGTGTAGATGATAGCATAGGAGAAGACAACCTTGGTAACATTGGATGGAAGGCGGAATCGATTCCTCCAAAATTTAAGGGTGTAGATGATAGCATAGGAGAAGACAACCGTGGTAACATTGGATGGAAGGCGGAATCGATTCCCACAAATTTTAAGGGTGTAGATGATAGCATAGGAGAAGACAACCTTGGTAACATTGGATGGAAGGCAGAATCGATTCCCCCAAACTTTAAGGGTGCAGATGATAGCATAGGAGAAGACCTTGGTAGCATTGGATGGAAGGCGGAATCGATTCCCCAAGGCATGGATCCCCTGCCCCAGTGCCATCTCCACAATGGGAAAGAGTCTCCCAGTGTCCCAGCACCTTACGCCAACCCACAGCTGGAAAAAAGTCAAGGACTCGAGTCCTTTGCGGATGTAGAACCTTCGGTGGACTCTAGCGAGGACGAGAACGGGCCAGTTGCTCAGTTGCCGGACTGGATGGCCCCCGGTGAGCAAGTTTGGGTGGGCAAAAGGAGTGGGACGGTGCATTATGTTGGAGGAGTAGAGTTTGCCAAAGGCATCTGGGTTGGAGTAGAGCTGGACCTTGCTGTAGGTAAGTGAACTTTTCCCTGTCTTGCTCTTTGACGCTGAATCCCATCTCAACTCCTTGTAACCTTAGACTTTTCTCGTCCTTCCATAGGCAAGCACAATGGTACAGTCCAGGGAAGGGTGTACTTCCGGTGTGCCACAGGTCATGGCGTCTTCGTGAAGCCATCCTGTTTGACTCGAGGACCTCCGTCCATAGACACTGAACCTCAACCTGTGCTTCAGTAGGAGCAGGACATTTACCCAATGGTTTGTAGACGATCTCTTCGACACCAGCACCAGCAACCGCCTGGACAAACCAAGTGCTAACAGAATCTATCCTTCTGATTTGTTCATCACGTTAGAGATTTGTTGGTTCCTCTGATTCCATGGCAATAAACCTAACCTGTGTGTCTTGTGTTGAAGTTATAGGCCTATTTCAGTATCGTCTTTGAATGTCGAGAGTTGCACAGTTGCACAAACACGTTTTATATATCATGTATAGCTGTAATACTTACATCCATCTTGGTTAATTGGTTACCACTTCTTATATGACTAAATGTATTAATCGAATGATGCTTAACTCTACTATACTTTAAGTGAGTTTGAGATTTGGATGTCTGTTCAAGGTAAGAATGTACTACTGTTTATGACCATTTTGTTTGCGTGATTATATCAGGTATTACCAAAGACATAGCCTTTCAAATCTGCTGTTCAAACTTCTTATGTAGATTACTTTGGCGATGTGTTTTATGCTTGTGTACTTTAATATGTGTTCGACCGATTTATGCTAATGTGCTAAGTGCCATATTTCTGGTTGAAAGGCCACATGCCCATCAGAACTTAAAAATTGTGGTCAATTTTGTTTTAGATTTAATAGTATTTTGATTGGACGGCAAGCCAGTTGCTCGTACTCTGTTGCGTTACTGGCTTGTTGAGTACTGTAACTGTTGAAGGACTGCCAATATTTCTGTTAACAGAGCTGTCTGAACGCTTGCACTGGAGTAACTTATCCTGGATGCACATTAAGTTACGTAATGCACAGACTTTTACGCATTCTCAGATACTGATTTGATGCTTCTCAGGAGGTTGACGGAAGTGAGGTCACCCCTGATGTGGAGAGCACCTTGTTTTCTTTATCAGACCCTTGCCGGTAGGGAGCATTTTTGCTAAACGCAGATATCCTGGTCTACTTCGTATCGGCTATAGACCAGAAATGCCCTAAAGTACTGACACAAGCCCTGTTCATGAATGGGGTCTTTTTAGATAGTCGACTTCTAGGTTCACCCGCCTAATAAAGAAGCTTTCGAGCATTTAAATCCATGTGTGTTTGACTGTTGAGTAGTATTTTGATTAGTTTGTGATACTAAAGCCAATATTAATGTTTTTATAGGTATAAATGGGGGATGGGCAATATCGGGGAATGGGACATAGCCTGAATAATGCTAGTATGTTTAGTGCCATGACCGGTGCTGTTATTATTGCTCTGTTTTACCTGAAGAACTGTGGATCTCATAAGAAGTGAATACTATTGCTGTCAATGGAGATGGTAAAATGAAAACCCAAGACCTTACTTAAAAGAAAACAAAGCTGCTCTCCTTGACAAGGAGCTGTACATAAAATGTATGAACATAGTATTTACAATATTATAAAATGTACAGAATTGTATTTATATTGTATCTCTGCAGATGTTGGTACAAAGATGTTGTAGAATACAGAACGGCCTCTGTATAATGCATATTAAAGTTCATAAGTGCAGCGCTGCTTTGTTTACAGCGGAAACCAGGAAACGCTTTAAGCGCCACCTGCTGGCAGAGAGTGCATCTGCGTCTCGTTCAGCTCGTCTGCGGTTTCTGTTTCATGCAGATATTTTTGATATATAGTTTCACAAAACTGAAGTCAAACTACAATCTAATTTAGATTAAAAACTGCTCGTGTTGCATGTTTGCATCAAGATTAAAATGCAGTGGTTGCCTCTAAAAGAAATGTGCAGCATTTTGTCCAAGCAATAATAAAAGGACACATTTAGTTTATAATTTGTCTTGAATCTCATTTTGTAAAATAAAATAAAATTGTGAATCGAATCGTGAGTTGAGTGAATCGTTACATCTCTATTCAGAAATCATTCTAATATGCTGATGTGCTGCTCAAGAAACATTTATTATCCAAAAGTTAAAAAGAACAGCATTAATTTAAAATAGAAATCTTTTGTAACAATATACGCTACAGTTCAAAAGTTTGGGGTCATTCATATGCAAGTGCTATATTAGTATATTATTATAGTGTTATATTTCAATTTCATAAAGAAATGTGCAGCATTTTGTCCAAGCAATAATAAAAGGACACATTTAGTTTATAATTTGTCTTGAATCTCATTTTGTAAAATAAAATAAAATTGTGAATCGAATCGTGAGTTGAGTGAATCGTTACATCTCTATTCAGAAATCATTCTAATATGCTGATGTGCTGCTCAAGAAACATTTATTATCCAAAAGTTAAAAAGAACAGCATTAATTTAAAATAGAAATCTTTTGTAACAATATACGCTACAGTTCAAAAGTTTAGGGTCATTCAATTTTTATTCTTTCTTTTTTTTTAAAGAAATTAAAACTTTTATTCAGCAGGAACGTGTTAAATTGATAAGAAGTGACAGCAAATATTTATATTGTTAGAAAAGATTTATATTTTGAATAAATGCTGTTCTTTTTAACTTTTTATTCATCAAAGAATCCTGAAAAAAGTATCACAGCTTCCAAAAAAATATTGTGCAGCACAGCTGTTGATAATTCTGATAATAAATCAGCATATTAGAATGATTTCTGAAGATCATGTGACACTTTATTCTGGAGTAATGATGATGGAAATTCAGCTTTGCATCGCAGAAATAAATTATATTTTAAAGTGTATTAAAATAGAAACCATTATTTTATACTGTAATAACATTTTGCAAGATAACTGTTTTTTTCTGTATTTTTGATCAAATAAATGCAGCCTTGATGAGCAGAAGAGACTTCTTTGAAAAACATTACAAGTCTTACTGATCCAAACTTTTGAGCGGTAGTGTATATATATGTATGACATTTAAACGGATAAAATTAATCATTAGTCACGTGAGAGTGAGTAAGCAATAAGGTCAACCATTCAGGGAAGGTAGAGATTCTAAATGTGGGCGTGGTTAGACAGTAAAGTGGGCGGGGCGTGGATGTCTATGGGCGTGGTCTGTGTCCGCGTGTGAGAGAGCTTCCAAAGCCATATGGCATGTTGAGTTTTGTCGCCTGACAGACGCGACCTTTCTACCTCATATCAAATCATCCGCTCTCTGTTACTGCTGCCTTCCAGGAATACGAGCTGTTCTTGATCTAAGCAGTCGTGGTGAAACTTTGACCCTGTTTGAGTCGTCGTGAGGATGCACAGCTCTCAGAAGGACACCACATACACCAAGATCTTCGTCGGGGGTCTTCCGTATCACACCACCGACTCCAGCCTCAGGAAATACTTTGAGGTGTTTGGAGAAATCGAGGAAGCTGTTGTCATTACTGACAGACAAACGGGGAAATCCAGAGGCTATGGATTTGTAAGCCATATATCTATCTGTCTATCTGTCTATCTATCTATCTATCTATCTATCTATCTATCTATCTATCTATCTATCTATCTATCTGTCTATCTATCTATCTATCTATCTATCTATCTATCTATCTATCTATCTATCTATCTATCTGTCTATCTATCTATCTATCTATCT